CAACCCTAAAGCCAGTCCTATGGCCGCCTGCAACGTTCGATGCCTGGGGGCTGGCTTAGGGTGACTCAGGCGAAGGCAGGTCAGGTTTTGCAGCATGCTTGGTCATGAATCATGAAGAGTTCGGGGGGTTCTTAAGCAGATAGTAGGGAAAACCCGAAAATCCAACAGCTTCCCGCCAGTTGGAGTGTTTCTTCGAAGCCTGTGGTGCGGATCTGCAGCGGCACGTGCGTAGGCCAGCACCAGTTGAGGGGAAGTTCCTGTGTTGAACCCTGAACCGCAACCCCAAACCCTGACCCCCTAAACCCCTCATTCCAAAACCCTAAACCTCTCAACCCTCGACGACCTAAGCCATGGATACAACTCTCTTTGCTAGGGAAAGGGGAGTGAAGTAGAGTTACCGCGGGATCGCCGCGTTTGGCAGCATAGAACTGTGTCCGTGGATATGCGGACTGCAGGTCAACTACATACCAGACCTAAACCCTAAAGCCTAAACCCTTGGCAGACAGTCCCTTAGAATAAGAGCGGACATGCCCGAAGATGCCGGCCCCTTGTTGTAGGAATCGTCGAGAGTTCTTTGGAGAGTACTAGCCCCTCCCCACGCTTGCGGTGTTGAGACTCGCTTCTGCACCCAAAAGCCTAGTCTCAATAGGGCATCCGAAGTATGGGCCCTTAAAACCCTAAACCCTAAACCCCAAACCCGCACATACACTATACAGAATCAGGGCTAATTCTTCGGATCCATTTAAGCCCCCTTCTAAGCAAGGGTGATGGACCATACTAAGGGGGCCCAGGTTCCATTAGACCCCCTAAACCCTAAACCCTAAACCCTAAACCCTAAACCCAGAGCTCCTGGTAGGGCTCTTCGCCGCACCTGGCCCGACCAGAGTCTGCCGGACCCATCCTTCAGGCTCTTGGGGTTCAGGGTTTGGGGGGTTTAGGTTTTTGGGGGGTTTGGGGGGTTTAGGTTTTTGGAGAGGGTTCAGGGTTTGGAGGGTTTGGGGTTCAGGGTTCAAGGTTTGGAGGGTTTGAGGTATAGGTTTTTGGGTTGAGGGTCTAGGGTTGAGGATTAAGGGGCGGGTCTCTAGCTTTTTCGCTCGGGGAGGCAGGGGGAGGCGCGGGGAGGGGGGGAAGGGGAGGGGGGAAGGGGAGGGGGGAGTGAGGGAAGGGGAGGGGGGGAGTGGGAGGGGAGTAGGTTCGCTTTCAAGTTCTTGCCAACCGGCCCTGAAATCCGAACGGTTGGATTCCTGGCAAAGGTTCGAGGCGGTTCCACACCCCAAGCTGCGCTGCACCCCAGAAGCCCTCATCCTAAACCCTAAACCCCAAACCCCAAACCCTAAACCCTAAACCCTACACCCTAAACACTAAACCCCAAACCCTATAAACCCTAAACCCTAAACCCTCATCCTACACCACCCTGTTGCCCAGTTCTCGCGGCGACTTCTCGCCTCGCCTGAGCCGACGTGAGGAGCGCATGCCAGGCAGCCCTACTCGAAGGTTCATGGGTAGTCATAAGCGTTTTAGGGTTTAGGGATTAGGGTTAGGGTTTAGGGTTTAGGGTTTAGGGTTTAGGGTTTAGGGTTTAGGGTTTAGGGTTTAGGGTTTAGGGTTTAGGGTGTAGGGTGTAGGGTTTAGCGTTTAGGGTTTAGGGTTTAGGGTTTAGGCTTTAGGGTTTAGGGTTTAGGGTTAGGGTTTGGGGTTTAGGGTTTAGGGTTTAGGGTTTAGGGTTTAGGGTTTAGGGTTATAAGTAGGGTATCTATACTTATAGCTGGTTACAACCTTATGTAGGGCACTTATAACCCTACTTAGAATTACCCATGAACCTCCGAGTACCCTAGGTAACGACGCATGACAACCCAGGCTTCGCGCAGGTCTTCCAGGCCTTTGGGGTTCAAAGTGGTGGGCTAAAGTGAGGAATGTAAAATATGCCTGGCTCCATAAGAGCCGCGTATCGTGAAAGCTATGTAGCTTAGTCAAGGGGTATGAACCTGATCTTCGGGCTTGGTGTTAGCTATGTCAAAGCGCCCTACGTAAGCAGGAGGCTCTTTGACTACACTTCTTAACACAACCTCCCCACAAGCTTGATTAGTCGTGTCGCATCTCCAGCTTTGATTGCTGGACTGTAGGGGTTTATTGGGATTCCGAATGCAGCGTCTTTATTTCAGCAGCAGTTTCCGACTAGGTCCTGATACAGAGAAGAGGCCCTTTAACAACTGCTACTTATCCCAGACCCAAGCCCAACTCTTCCCCTAAACCTTACCGTCTTCCAAAACGACACACCATCACCCCATAGAAGCCAATGTAGAGTCCGTCCATGGCGAAGTTGTCAAAGGTTGGCCAATGATGTTGTTGTTGTGTCCCCGTGCTTTTCACACGCTGTAGTTTGATCCTAACCCTAAACCCTACACCCTAAACCCTAAACCATAGGTGCATAGTTTACAGTTTCAACGTCCGAACCCAAATCCCCTAGGCGGGTAGTTTCATGGTCCCTCAGTCTGGTCCGTAGGGTTTGGGGTTCGGTCTAACCCTGCCGAAACCCACCTTTTGTTGTAGGTTGCCTTAGAATCCTATCAGGGCTTGAAAATAAGAGCCTACTAAACCCTAAAACCCTAGCCCTAAACCCTAAACCCTAAACCCTAAACCCTAAACCCTAAACCCCAAACCCTAAACCCTAAACCCTAAACCCTAAACCCTAAACCCGTAGGTTTGGGGTTCTTAAGGTAGACCGGCAACCCTACGCCCGAAGAGTGTTTTCAGGGCTCGAGTCGCAGCGAGACCACGATGCCCTTCGGGCTGTCTTGGAAGATACCAGGCCCCTGCTCCCTTGCTGGGCTTCCTTTAGAGTTTGGGGTTTAGGGTTTAGGGTTTCCTGAAACCCAAAACCCAGAGGAGTAGTTTACATGCTGTTCCCATGGTGATGCTAAAGCGGAGTAGAGCCGCAAGCTTCGGGCGGAGGGGGGCGCCCGCGGATTCCAGGAGTGACCCCCCAGAAGTAAGCCCTTCTGGCTCGGTCCCAGAGTCGGCCCTTATTCCCCTTTTTTAGAGTTGAGGTACCCTTACTAAGCCCCTTTAAACCTAGAAGGGCGCCCTTTTTCTTCCGAGGTTGCTCTTGGGTCTAGGATGAAGTTTGCAGCAATGTGGTTCTACTCCGGGCTGGCCTGGGTGCTTGTACATGTATAGATGTATAGATGTAGATATGTATACACGTGTAGATGTGTAGAAGTATACATGTACATGTGTATATCGTATACATGTATATGTGTATACCTGTATATATGTATATATGTATGCATGTTTATCTGTATGCATGTATATCTGTATGCATGTATACATGTATATGTGTATGTGTGTACATGACTATCTCTCTCTCTCTCTCCCTCTTGCTATATCTAGATACACATATATATATATATATACATACATATTACATTTTTATTCATATATACAGCTTGGTCTATTTAGTCTGATACGCCTGAGCAACCAATTTAAACTCCACACCATACAGAGGCTGAAAAAAATCTCTTGAATCGAAGTTTTAAGAAGTTTGCAGAATGCCTTCTATCTTGGTGCTGACCTAAACCCTTAACCCGAAGCCCTAAACCGTAAACCCTACACTACCCTGAACCCTAGACCCTACACAATCTTCTAAACCCCATGCCCCAAACCCTAAACCCTAAACCTAAACCCGAACCCTAACCCTAAACCCTAACCCTAAACCCTAGCCCGAAACCCTAACCCCAAGCCTGCCATTGGTTTCTGTAGTGGCGAATCCGCAGCCAACGTGGCTCCCAAGAAACGAAGCCGGCGGGGCGCCTTGAGCAAGCCCGCCGAAATTTTATTGTAGAGGCCTGACACAGGCTGGGTTGGGTTTAGGGTTTAGGGTTCAGGGTTTAGGGTTTGGGGTTTGGGGTTTGGGGTTTGGGGTTTAGGGTTTAGGGTAAGGGTTTGGTCAAAGTTTGTAGGGTATAGGGTCTAGGGTGCAGGGTTCGTTCGGGGTACAGGGTTTAGGAGGGCTTAGTGAAATTTCAAGTTACAAGGTGTTTAGCATGTAGGGTTCAGGGTAGAAGGTTTAGGGTTTAGGGCGCAGGGTTTATTGAACCTTGTTTAAGTTACAGGGCTTTAGTGTTTAGGGAATGTCGTTTAGGGTTCAGGGTTTATTGGGTGGGGGGTGTAATGAAATTTCAAGTTACAGTGTGTACAGGGGCTTGAAGGTTTATGGGATGATGAGGCTGAGGGGTGTAGGGTTTATGGGTTATGGGTTTAGGGTTTAGGGTTTAGGGTTTAGACTTTAGGGTGTAGGGCACTGGGCAGCGCCAAGGTTGAAAGGGTTTTGGGCTCTTGTATCGGTATGGTTGGGTTCGGGCGGTTTAGGGTTTAGGGTTTAGGGTTTAGGGTTTAGGGTTTAGGGTTTAGGAGTTGGGTTTAGGGTTTAGGGGTTTTGGTTTCAGGAAAGGCCGTTGACAGGATTAGGATCCTTGAGGGTACCTGTTCTGCTGTGGGCCCTTATGCTTAGGGTACGATCCAGTTGTGAGAACTTCTAACCACATGAGGCGGTGCCCATGCTTTCTGATTGAGGGTTTAAGGTCTAAAGGTTCACCCTAATTTGAGGAAGCAAGCGCCTAAGCCCCCAACCCTAAGACCCGAAACCTGCAAACGCTCATCCGGAATCGGAGCCCTAAGAATTGAAACCAGTGAGCCGAAAGCCCTTCCCGCTCCGAGAACTCCGAAGACCTGAGACTGCTCTTGGCGTAGGGGGGCAGCTGAGGATCGCAGGCATGGTTCTAGGGTGAGAGGTCGCGGCGCATTGCGCCCTCCCCCTGAATAGAACCTGAGCATCTCCAACCGAGTTGCCAAGGATCCTGGGCAACCCTAAACCCTAAACCCCAAACCCTAAACCCTAAACCCTAATCCCTAAACCCTAAACCCAAATCCCCCGCCCTCCCCCACCCCAAAGCCGGCTCCTTGCAGGTGCAGGCCTTTCATTGTCCAGGGGCTTTGTGACCATGTCGGCGGATGATATTGAGAGGCAGCCCCTGCTGGCGGAGGCAGCAGGGGCAAAGGGTGTAAATAAAAATGAAGAATCCATAAACAAATACAAAACTGCGTATGTATGTATGCATATATGTTCTGTATACATTCATCTATCTATATCTATCTATATCTATACATATATATATATACATATGTATATGTACATGTGTGTGTGTGTGTGTGCGTGCGTGTGTTTTTGTTTTCAAAACGGTTGTGTGTTTAAATGAGCAGGGTGCATAGCATGGTGTAGAAAGTGTGTATAGAGTATGTGCAGTATGAAATATGATTTAGATATAGATATACATATAGACAAGATATAGATCAAGATCGATTAGGTATAGGACAAGGATTGGGATATTCCCCCTTTTCTAACAGTCCTTAGTAGGAATTTTGTATGGGGGATATTCGAATCGCATGAAGGACCGTTAGCACAAGGGGGAACATCCCAAGATAAAGACGTCGATTTCGTAGTTGCATTGCATTGTTGGAGGGCTTGAGGCTTGCAGGGGTTGGCTGCCAGCCCACCGAGTTCTGAGACGCCAAACCCGGGATCTGAAGCCCACCTTTTTGAGAGTAGGGGTTCAGGGTTTTGGGTTTAGGGTTTAGGGCTGTCTAGTTTTTAAATTACTGGGTTCGGGGTTTTGGGCCTCAGGGCTTTAGGCTTTAGGGTGTAGGTTTAAGGGAGCTTAGGGGCCTTACGTCAGCATGGAGACCAGCGACAGGGCCAGAATTGTCAGCCGTGATATGCCGAGTTCAGATGCTACCATGGCGAGAATCGGAGTCTAAGCAGGTAGAGTGGATATTTTCGGGGTCGTGGGCGCGCTCTGGCTGCCTGTAGTATACAGGTATCATCTGATGGTGATGAGCTGGGGAATCGTCATGACTTCAAAGTCCTGGTCCTGAAGACACCTGTCCCAACGCCCGAGAAACGAACTCCTGAACCAAAACCTCCGAGCCCTGCGTCGCGCGTGTGGCCTCAGCCCTGTTCCAATCGGCCGCAGGAAAAGCAAGTTGATGAAGCCGAGGTTCAGGAGGCATCTTCGCGGGAAGTTTTGGGGGCATCGTTGCATGACCCGGGGCGATTACGCGTGCTTGCATCTATCACCAGGAGGGGGGGGGGAGCAGCCACACCCCCTCAGCTCAGGGATGATCGCAGCCAAAGGGCCAAAAGGGTTTAGGGTTTAGGGTTTAGGGTTCAGGGTTTAGGGTTTAGGGTTTAGGGTTTAGGGCGATCAGCCCCCCCCCCGGAGAGGGCTGATGGGCTTCTTGCTGCAGTGGTGCTGTGTCCGCATCGCAGGAGCTGGATGACGCCATGTCCTATGATGCCCGGATTCTCGGCAGATCGGTCGTTGCAACTCTCGCGACTTTTTTGTCAAGGTGGATGTTGGATGGATTTGCAGCTCCTACGGGGCCCTTCGAAGATCAGTTAAGTGCCAAGTGCCAGGCTTTTCAGAGCAACCGAAGCCATCTAGCATACATGCTCCACTTCCTCTTTCCTCCCATCACCTGTTGAGCTACTCAAGCATTCTGCTTGTAACCGGATCGATTCGAGAAGATTGTTCAGTTGCTAGATGTGCGGGAATCCTGAACCCCAAAACCCTCAACGAGCTGCTTGGGCGCCAAGGAAACTCATCACGTTTGACGTGCTGCGCGCAGCCACTGGGACGATCTGGGTCAAGGCCACACCGGTGCCATCGGCGTAGCCAGGGTTTAGGGATTTAGGATTTAGGGTATAGGGGGTTGGGGTTTCGGATTTTTTTGGGGCATTGCTCTCGCAGATTTTTTGCAGCCCCCCCCCCCCCCCCCCCCCGGGCCCCACCCCCCCTTCCCCAGCGGCAAGCATGCCCTAGAAACCCTAAACCCTAAACCCTAAACCCTAAACCCTAAACCCTAAACCCCATACCAACACCAGCAAGATCGCCAGGGATCCCTCTGGAAGATGATGGGCATGCTCTTCGCCATCTCCCTCGTTACAGCCATGGTGGTGATCGCCCTGGTGAAGCAGCCGGAGAAGCTGCTAGCCAGGAGGGTTTAGGGCTTAGTGTTTAGGGTTTAGGGTTTAGGGTTTAGGGTTTAGGGTTTAGGCCCAAAAAACACTTTTAATTTCTGGTTGCCCGAAACGAAACCTCTGGAATCGACCTTAGTTCACACCAACAAAAACAAGGAACCCCTATTACCCTATCATAGAAAGCTCCCTTCCTTGATTGAGGGGTGGTTGGGTTCGCTGGGTGAGAGGCCTCCTGTCCCAGATGGTGTCCTTGATAAGGGCTTGAGCTGAGCTTGAGCAGCTTCGGCTGAGGCAACAGGAGGATTCTGTTTTTTTTTTTTTTTTGGGGGGGGGGGGGGGGGGGGGTTAGGGTTGATCAGAGTGTAGTACTTTAACCAAAACCCTAAGTCAGGGTACCAACACAGCCTGTTTCATTCCTTTGGAAATGAGAAGGAACCACAAGGCTATGCCTTAAATATAAAGATAAGGATCAGCAAAACGATTCTGCTGGACATAATGAGAGAGAACCTGAAGGTTTTCACTTCACAGGGGGTTTAGAGTTTAGACTGGTAAGCAGTGCAGTTAAAGCTGCAGCTCCACGCCCCAGCTTTCAAGCCCACAAGCCTCTCTGATCAGCCTGTCCGCCTAGGCTGGATACCAGCAAGTACAGCAAGCTCACCACCTTCTTGAGACTTGGAGAACACCAGCGGTATGTTAACACAACAAATTCAGCTTCTTTTCGACCTTGTCATCCCTGTACCACAACGACTCTGAGAATACAAGTGCACTAGAAGCTATACCATTCTACCCAATGTAGCAGCCTTTCATCATGGCGGTTGGCATGTGTAGGGGTCAAGGCTGTTCATGTTGGGACGGCTATGATTTGGGCAGCTCAGTTGGGCAGGCTTTCAGGCACCGAGCCACAGCCTTTAACCTCCACAATCTGGTGCCTCTGGCTGTCCGTCAGCCAAAGCATTGGTCCCTAACAACAACGCCTGCCGCTAGGCTTCCTCCAAGATGGGCTTGCACCACCCGGAGAAAAACAACAGCACCCTGCAGGAATCTCAAAGAAAATCCTCAACAGGCCAAACACGGGTAACTCCAAACTGGGTGAGTGGCGGCCAGCCCTAAAACCTCAATCGGGTGGGAGACCCGCTCCGAAACCCAACATGTTATCCGGGGGATGCCGTTTGCTGAGCGGGATAACGGTGGAGAGCAAGTTGCAAGTTTAGGGTTTAGGGTTTAGGGCTTAGGGTTTAGGGTCAGAAAAAAGGGCTCCTGCACTTCAACCAAAAGGAGCCAACACCTCTTGGGGGGTGTAGGGTTTTTGGATTTAATTAGGGTTTAGGGTTTAGGGTTTAGGGTTTAGGGTTTAGGGTTTAGGGTTCCGCGCACCCGAGGAAAGCCATCGTGGGTCTGCTTCTGGGCTTCTTTCTCTCCTCGTCTGTGAACCGATGGTGCCATGCCTCAGTTAGCATTGCCTCTCACGGGTCCAAATTTGGGGATTCCCGAAAATTTCGGGTACCCCTTATGTACCCCAGAATACTATATAGTCTTTAACAAGCACCCAGATTACCCGTATGTTCGAAGCCCCGTTTAGGGCTGTTAATGTGCTTGAGCAAGTCATCAGGAACCTAAGCAATTACCAACCTTTTCCCGTTTACCCTTGTGCAATGATTGTGTAAACTACCCAAAATCCCCAGTCTGATACCTAGGGTATATGTCCAACAAGTGAAGGTCCCCAAGCCATACCGCACCCCAATCAGCTGGCACGCCGTTTTTTCAGAGCAAGAGCTTCGGCCTCTTTAGGGCTTGTAGCTCGTGCAGCACCCCCCCTGTGAAAAAATCCCGGTTAAGGGCTGCTAGTGTAACGGGGAAGATCTCAACCCTAAACCCTAAACTTTACCCTAAACCCTAAACCCTAAACCCTAAACCCTAAACCCTAAACCCTAAACCTAAACCCTAAACCCTAAGCCCTAAGCCCTAAGCCCTAAACCCTAAACCCTAGCCCTAAACCTAAACCCTAAACTCTTAAGGTACGCTTGCACTTGTGGCTTCCTGGAGCTCTTCACCGCGATCCGCGGGCTTCACATGCAGTTGCTGGCCATGGGCCACCCGCCGGTTTTCATAGGGGTTAGGGTTTAGGGGTTAGGGTTCAGGGTTTAGGGTTTAGGGTTTAGGGTTTAGGGTTTAGGGTTTAGGGTTTAGGGTTTAGGGTTTAGGCAACCCACATGAAGCGACAACTGCGGGGCTGAGTTTCTCAGGTTGGGCGTTTCAGTTCCTTGGGCGACCAAGATGATGTAGGGGGGGAGCTCGTGGACTCATCCCTACTAAGCTTCGGGCTTAGGGGCTTAGGGTTCCGACTCCCCGTAAGCCACACAAAACAGACAGATCAAACCCAACTTTCTTCGTGTCCTGGGTGGTGCGTTCAAGGGGTTTGGGGTTCAAAGGGTTGAAGTTCTTGAGAGGAGGCTGGCAAGTGGAAGACAGCGTAGATAGCACGGACTGTGAGATCCTTCATCACAAGCCTGGTAGCTGTTCTCCATTGCTGTAAGAGGATTTCTTCTGCAAGTCGTCACGACTCGCAGATGCCCCTTGCTTCCTCATGCCTTCAAGACTCACAAACGAAGACCCACAAGCCCTTAAGCCTATAAACTTAGGATGTTCCCACTTCTACCAGCAATCCTTGCTAGGGATTGTAGTAAGGGGGGGGGCACTATAATCCCGATTCAGGACTGTTAGTAGAAGGGCGAACATCCCAACTATATACCCTCAACGACTCAGCCCTCGACCCAGAGCCACGTGCCAAAACGGCAGACTCAGGCGCACCAAAGGAGCACGTGCACATGTGCATGCGGTACTGCGTGGTCTCCGCCTGCAGCGTGGAGACCCAGCTCCCAAGGGCAGGGTCGAACAGAGGGGCTTTCTGACGTATGGGGTTTTGGGATTTTCGGCCTTAGGGTTTTAGAGTTTAGGGTTTATAAGGGTTTAGGGTTTAGCCCTAAGCCCTGAAGCAGGCGCCGGTTCCAGGGTTAACGCATCGGGGCAAGGCGCCGGGCGTTCGCCAAGCCGCAGGTGCCGCTCGAATACCCCAGGACCCCTATAGGCCTCCCAGTGGGCCCTAGTTTTCCCCTTTTTCGGGTCTTAGGTTCCCTATAAAGCGTTTTTTTTTTCCCCCCCCTTTTTGGGGTCTTAGGTTCCTTATGAAGCGGCCTTATTTTCCCTTTTTGGGGTCTTAGGCTCCTTACAAAACGACCCGATACCAAAGAGGGAGCCCTTATGATTCCTTGGTTGCTGGGGATCCTAGACCCCGAGCTCCTTCAGATAAATCAGGTTGCTCTAAGGGCATCTCCGAAAATGGAGGCACCCTTTTGGGGGTTCCTATAATAAGGACTATACTACTTTGGGGTATGTTCCTATCATAAGGACTATACTACTTTGGGGTATATTAAGGGTACCCCCCCCCCCTCCCTATTTTTGGAAATGCCCATAAGAACTAGAGTGATGTTCATCTCAACCCTAGACCCTCACCACCTCGTGGACATGTACAGATTCGGGCGTTGCGCCCTGTTGAGCTAGCTTGTAGCTTGTTTATGCTTTTGGCGCGTTAATTAGCTGTGTGGGTTTTGGTGTTAGAGATTTTGGGGTTCTGGAGTTACTTTCATGACAGGACATGTTGTACACTCAAATGCTTGGGTTATGCCCCGCAAAACTGGCCCTCAGACCCTAAAACCTAAACCCGAAACCCTAAAACCGAAACCCAAAGGCCCCAAGCCCGAGAACCTAACCCCTGAACCCTAAACACTAGGGTTGGGGTGTAGGGCTGGACGTAATGGAACCTGACAAACCCCTAAACACGCCGGCCCGAAGCCCCTAAACCCTAAGGCCCTAAACCCTAAACCCCAACCTCGAAGGCCCTGAAACTCCTAAACGCCTGAAACCCTGAAGGCCCTAAACCCTAACCCCTGAGGCCCTAACGGCCTAAACCCCAAAACCCCTAAAACTTGCTGAATCCCCAAAAGCAGGCTACGTAGCCCTCGGCCACGAGAACCATGGGCCGCTAGGGGCTTGAGGGGTTTTAGGGGGGTCTGGGTTTAGGGTTTTGGGTTTAGGGTTTAGGGTTTAGGGTTTGGGGTTTAGGGTTTTGGGGGTTGTGGGGGTTTAGGGGTTTTAAGGGTTTAGGGGTTCAGGCTCTTAGAGGCTTGTAAGGCTTCAGGGGTTTAGGGCTTGTAGGGGTTTAGGGCATTTAGGGGGCCCTGATTGCAAGCTCTCCTGAGGTTTGCAGTTTCACCTGCAGATGCAGACGCTCCCAGAAGAAGATCGGGAAGAGTTCAGGGAGCGGAAGTGGGCAGGGATGCCCAGATCCACAGTTTACGGGTTCCGAAAATAGGCGCATCCTTTTTGGGCGCTCGGGGATTTCTATTCTATTTTTGGTATAAAAGGGGTACCCCTATTTTGGGAAATACCCACTTCCACCAGGGCCGGATAGGCTAGGTTGCTGTGAAATAGGAACCCACGTGAGCAACCCTAGCAAGGAAGCCTGGATACTTAAGTTATTCTTGCTCTTTGGGGTGTTCCCCCTTATAGCAACAGTCCTTAATAGGGATTATATTGGGGGGGGGGGGGCACTATAATCCCGATTTCTGGACTGTTAGTAGAAGGGCGAACATCCCAACTCATTCTGGTGACTTAGTTGTGGTTCCTTTTGATTGCAACCCAGAAAGGTGAGGATGAAGGGGTTCAGCATCCTTGCGGCCAAGTAGGATGCAGCACATGGGGGCTTGATCGAAGTCATCGAGGGTTTAGGGCTTAGGGCTTAGGGCTTGGGGCTTAGGGCTTAGGGCTTAGGGCTTAGGGCTTAGGGGGCCCATTTTCGGGCACCATGACACCACTCCAAGAAGTGACCAACACGTAGTCAGAGCGCTTCTGGGTCACCCGCTTTGCCTTCTACCCTTCCATGGAGGCTCTTTTGAACGCCTCTTCAGGGAACGCGTGGCCTAGAACCCATCAACCACCCTATAGAAGGGCCCTTAACAATGTTAACACAGTAACATAGCTATGTGATTCCCATCATACCGTCATAACATTCATCATCGAACCCGACAAGAAGCTGGCACGTGCAATAAGATAATAACATAGTCGACATGGCTAGCGCTGCAATGCCCCATGAGGCATCCTTGATCCATGACGGAAGCCTGGACTCCGCGAAGCTATCGAGCTGCACCGTGGCCAGACTTCACAAAGAGGAGAAGGACTCGCCGAGACAGGGTTTAGGGTTTAGGGTTTAGGGTTTAGGGTTTAGGGTTTAGGGTTCAGGGTTCAGGGTTCAGGGTTCAGGGTTCAGGGTTCAGGGTTTGGGATTGAGGGTTTAGGGTTTAGTAGGGTCTAGGTTGGGATGTTCCCCTTAGACTAGCAGTCCCTAATAGGGATTATGCTAGGGGCACCATAATCCCTACTAAGGACTGTTAGAAGAGGGGCGAACATCCCAAAGTTTAGGGTTTATGTGGAGGGGTTGAGGGTCTTAAAGTGAACCGTGACAAGCCTGGGGTCGTGTGAAGCTCACTTTAAGAAAGGGGTTGGGTGTGTTCTTCATGCTGGTTCGCGTGGGTTCGGCTTGAAAGTGTAGAGTTAGTTCGGCAGACGCCTTCAATGGAATGCCTTCCCCCCACCCCCGCTGCCGTCATCTTCCAGGCAGCGCGCGGCAGGATCCGAACAAATGAACGCTCGCCACCCTAAACTTAAGCTACGAACCCTAAACCCTAAACCCTAAACCTCAAAAGCTATCAACCAATGACTCTCCTGTCATGTCGCATCTTGGGATCTTGATGAAGGTCACACCTCAAAGCCTTATCGTCATCCTGTGGGAACTATAGGCACGAACGTCCCAAGGTTACTTCCCTTGGGCCCATGTACCCATGAAGTATATACTTGGGGCTTCAAGGGGCTCCCCAAAAAGTAGCTTAGGGCCCAAGTGTGTACCATGTAGGTGCATGGACCCTAAACCCTAAACCCCAAACCCCAAACCCCAAACCCTAAACCCTAACCTTATGGTTTTATTTAGCAGGGCTGGGCACTCCACGCAGTGCGTTCCGCGAGGAAGTCCTTGACAAAGTTGAGGATCCTTCTCAAACCCTGTGGGTGTGGGCGGTCCGGCTGCAACTGTATCTAGACAAGGGGTTTAATAGGGTTTATAGGGCGCCTCAAATGTAGTTCCTCTGTCATTTGGGACATGATGGTCCGTTTTCTGTGAGGCAAAGCAGAATACACTGAGGCACCCAAAGAAAGTAACCACAATTGGGGTTGCCACGTGTGGCTAAGCTCTTGAAACCAGCAGCCTCAAGCCCAAAGACGCAACTTAACCCTTGAACCCCCAACCTGTCGGCAGGGTCCGGACGGGACCCTAAACCCTGAACTGTAGGTTTAGGGCCTGGGGGTTCTAAGCCCTTATTTTGTAGACCCCAGCACCTTCGATAATTCCCAACTACCCAAAGCCTCCAAACATTAGGGTTCAAGAGTCTTGGGTGCGCCTGAGGGCCCTTAGGAGGGTGCTTAAGGGGTTCAGAGGACCCTTAGGGTTGAAGGGGGTAGAGAGTATCCAGGGCATTGAGGGTTTCACAGGATTCTCGGCGTTAGGCGCGCTTGCCGGTGACGAGCCAAGACTGGCGTAAGCGTGCCAGACACCCTGCCCAAACAAGGTTCCAGGGTGTGTTGGGATCTTGGGGATGTCTCGTAAATAGCTACGAGACATGCCCATTTTGCAGTTTCGGTGCAGGGTTCAAAAGGGGGGGGTCCCTCGACCTAGATTTGGAGCGATCCTGTTTGGTTTGGTTCCGGCTTCCGCGCACCCTATACATGGTTGCAACCGTATTAAGGGTACTTATCACCCTACTTCTTGCTACCCATGAACCTCAAACCCTACACCCTAAACCCTAAACCCCAAACCCTAAACAGGTGATCTCCCTGCTCACTCGGATGTCAGCCGATGGCGAGCTTCCCCCCATCCCATGCCCAACTTACGGCAAGATTCTGTCCTGGGCTGACAAGGCGCCCGGAGGGTTTAGGGTTTAAAGTTTAGGGTGTAGGGTGTAGAGTTTAGGGTTTAGGTTGTAGAGTTTAGGGTTTAGAGTGTAGTGGTTAGGGTTTAGGTTATTTTGGGCATTTGGGGCCTTGCTCTGGAGTTCGGGTTCCAAGGGGTCGGGTCATGTTGGGCGGGGTTCGAGGTTCGGATGTCGTGGGATGCTGGTACTTTCGAGCAGCTAAATTCCTAGGTTACTGCTCTCGAGTTTGGTTTGTTTGCGAAGATGTTTTGGTTAACCCTAAGTTCCCTAAACCCTGAACCCTAAACCCTAAACCTAGGTTTTGGCTTTGGGCTTTCAGGGTTGAGGGTTTTTTTCGGACGGCTGTGTGGTGTGGGGTCCGACCAACACAGAAGCCGAGCGTCTTTGATGTGCACGAGTGGTCGAAGTTGCATTCCTCAAGCCAAAGCCCTAAACCCTAAGCCCTAAACCCTAAGCCCTAAGCCCTAAACCCTGATGCATGTGGTAAAGATTCCGCGGTTCGGGGGAGTGAGGGTTTAGCGTGCAGGGTTTAGGCGTCTAGGTGGAGGAACATCTGGCAGTACCCATCTCCCCCCTTGTTTAGAGGTTAGCAGCCTTTCCCCTACCAGCTATTTATCGGGTACCCGAACCTAAACTCTGAACCCTAAATCCCTAAACCCTAGGTATCGAATGGAGACCCCAGAAGGGCCTCAGAAGATTATGAAAAGAGGGGTTCCCAAACCCAGGGGCACAACCTTAGGGGTCCAAGATGGAGTCCCATGAGTTGTACCATTGGATGCTGTTGAGGCTACATCCCCTGAGATGCGCACCATGCCACCGGTCTAGGGGTGGCTTCGGGTGCTTGGTGTCTAGTGGTGTTCAGGGTCTGGGCTGCGACAACGCAAAACCTACCAAAGCCCAAGCCCTAAGCTCCAGACCTTCTAAACCCTAAACCCCTAAACCCCCAACCTTCTACACCCTAAATCCTGAAGCCCAAAACCCCCAAACGTTTTAAACCCTAAATCGTACAGCCTAAACCCCAAAGCCCAAACCCCAAAGCCCAAACCTCAAACCCCAAACCCCAAACCCTAAACCCTAAACCCTAAACCCCGAAATTCAACCTCAAGGGCCTGTGCTTGGCTGCAGGCCTACAACGGAATCCGTGAGGTGCCAGGGCGAGTTGCCAAATTATTCCGGAACACCGACAGGGACTTCTAGGGTTTAGGGTTTAGGGTTTAGGGTTTAGGAAAAGTCTACCTTAAGATCCCACAACGTGATTTTGCTGTACGCAGGTTGCTCTTGTGAAGCTCGTTATAGGATTCTTAGCTAAAGTGGGTTTTGTTCTCAATCTAGAAAGGGGTCCGCGGAAGGTTCGTGCGGGGAAAGATGACTATAGAACATACAGGGAGGACATAGGGAGTAGCTATACCTGGCTGTCAGGCGAAAGAGGGGGGGGGGGGGGAAGAGGGGAGGGGGGGAAGGGGCAGCGATTCCGAGCCCGAAGCCCTGTAAACCCCTGAGCCCAGGGGACAAGTTCGCATCCTTAACCCAGATCGCAGGTTCAAGCGGCTGTGTGCGTCCAACCTCCGTACGTCTACGTGCAGATGATGGCGGTTCTGGTCGCTGTCCCTGCCTTAGGGTTTAGGGTTTAGGATTTAGGGTTTAGGGTTTAGGGTTTAGGGTTTAGGGTTTTAGGGTTTTAGGGTTTAGGGTTTAGGGTTTTTTTTCGCAGCATTGGCGTACACCTGCCTTCCTGATTATTTGGGTGGGGTGAGGAACACTTGGAGGCTCATGGGCGCTTATGACCCAGTTCTAAGTCTACTTGGAACCTACTTAGAGGACTTAGGGGGCTTATAAGTACAGTTATAATTGGGGTTATACCCTGAACCTCCAAGCAGGAACATGTGGTGGTAGTGCTGCTTCCTTTGCACAAGGCCTTCAGTACTAGGGCTGGGCTTTATGGCTGCGGTTTGGGATCTGTCTCAGCGACGTATCGACCCCAACCTCTAAGCGGCCGACAGCCCAACAGAAACCTTGTGAGCACCCTTAGCCCCAAGAAGGGCTTAGGGTTTAGGGCTTAAGGCTTAAAAGGCTTAAGACCCCAAAAACCCATGCGAGCAAAATCCCCGGAGGAATTGGACCAGAACCTTTTAGGGTTCAAGGTTTGGGGTGCTATCGGGCGAGAGGCAGCTGATTTCGTGGATCGGCATCCACACAGGCTTGGAAATTCCAAAGTCTTTCCGTCCCCTCCCCCCCCCCCCCCCCCCCCAAATGCTCTGGATCTTAATCCCCAGACCGCTGAACCCTCCCAACCCCCACGCTCGACTTCCTTTCCTCAGCGCATGGCTTAGGGTACTTGCAGGTGAACAACATCCTGATTGCCGTCAGCTTCGGCATTACACTGGGGATCACACTGAGTCTTGCCTGGCCCTTACCGACTGCAACGGCTGTCTTGGGGGATGTCTGAACATTCATGCTCGTTCGAAGCACGACTCGTGCGACTCTACGAAATTTGGGGGAGTAACCTGATTTTTTGCCGAAGCTGCCCTTTCTTTGGCGTCTGCATTACGTCTCCTGCGAGGCTCCAGTTTCGACTTTCGCCTTTCTTCCGAGTTCGAGTCAGAGCGGGCGACTGACAGCTGAAGGGCCCTTAGGGCCCTTCCAAGAGCCCGAAAACCGCGTGAACTTACTTTACCCCAAGCCCGGTAGAGGCCTGGGTTGCAAGACCTCAACACTCTAAACCCTACGGGGTTCATGATGCAGGTTTAGGTCTGAGGGTTGAGCGTTTCATTGGCTTGGGCAGCCTCCTGTTCAGGCCATGCGAGAGCACGCAAGCTCCAAGGTTATCTCCAAGGACCCTCATGCTAGCGTCCACGTTGGGCTTGGGCTCATAGGTCCCCTAGAAGTGCCACGCTGGAGGTGCAAGAACATAGGCACGTATACAACGAAGTGCATATCGTTCTTCGTTTAACTGCTGACAATGGCTGTTTACACTTCTTTTGACCAGGGCGGGGCATTCTCTGGGGGGGCTTCTGCCGTTCAAAGACTGAAAGCTGACCCAAAAAGGGTTCCGGGTACAGTGGGCTGAGGCTTTTCGGGCAGGTTTTTTGGGCTCAGGGCTCCCTCTCAGCTTCAGCTTAAGCCCACACCTTGTCTGTCTCCCCATGAAGGACCTTCAGGATGTTGGCATCGCCTTCCTCATTAGTGCCCCAGCTGGCTCCTGCCACGGAGGGTTTAGGGAGGCTGTAGAGTTGAAGCCCTAAACCCCAAACCCTAAACCCCAAACCCTAAACCCTAAACCCTGAAGGCTTATGGGTTTAAGGTCCGGCTCCGGGTGGTACAGGGCAGTGCATCAGCAGCGAAGGAATCCACGTACAAACTTCCGGCCTCCTTACCATGACGACACCGAAATCCGAGAAAGCGAGCTGCTTTAGAGCCTTCAGGTAATCCCTAAGTTTGCCCAAAACCCAACTTTTCAACTTTGGGGCTTCTTATAAGGTAGTTTATTCTGAAAGTTTAAGCTTTTATTTCCTTGGGTTTTGGGCCAGTAAGAAACTATTAAGCCCCTGAGCCGAAAGAAACCAGAGGCTTGATTGCGTCTCAGAGTCTCCCATCGTACGCAGGAAGGGAGAGCCCGATGAAGCTGCTGCGGTTTGGGTGAAGAGTTTGGGTCAAAGGGGTTCGAGTTCAGGGTTAAAGAGGGTTTAGGGAGCATAGGGCTCAGGGAGGGTGGGGAGGAGGGAACATGGTGTTGAGTCTTAAGGGCTTTGAACTGGCCATCGGTATTTTCCCTGCTACACAGACGAGAACGGAGGCTCTTCCAGATGAGGCCCAAGTCGTTGTTGTTCAAGTGTTCTGAAAAACACAGTTCCTGGGTTACAGCGTTCGCGAAACCATGAGATCTGTTCTTCAAAATGTTTGTCACCGATTTTTGTGTGGATTCAAATGGCCCCGGCCTACATCACCTATCTATTAACGGAGAGGTGGGATGGCCTAAACCCTAAACCCTAAACCCTAAACCCTAAACCCTAAACCACAGTCCAACCGACATCCTTACGGTAGTACATGGGGGGGGGGGGGTTCGGAAACTAGGGGTACCCGTTTCGAGGGTCCCTTTAAGGGGATTCTATTCTTGGGGTATAAAAGGGGTACCCTATCTGGGGAAATATCCGCATCAACTCTGTCACTCAAGAAATCAGTGCCGTCCGTTTCTCCCAGTTCTCAATCTTCGCAAGAGGCTAAGGCATCCAAACTTCTCCCCTCAGCCCCCCATCGGAGTGGACCCCTTTGAATCGTACCCTTTTGAAGACATTTTCTGACGATGGCTTTTCCTATGCCATGCCACATATTCTAAGGATGAGCTTCGGAAGTTCAAACTCTGCAATTCAGCACACAAATTGTCCTCCCTTTCTATTCATGAGTATAGGCTTTAGGGCCTGGGGGACGCTCAATTATGGTCTCTACGCGTGTCTGCGTGTGTGTGTGTGTGTGTGTGTGTGTGTGTGTGTGTTGTGTGTGTGTGTGTGTGTGTGTTGTGTGTGTGTGTGTGTTGTGCTTAGTTGTTTGTGCTCGTGGGCCCGCAGGTACAGTCGGCCCTTTCCTGTACCACGCCCTGCTCGAAGTGGCAGTGTGCATCGCGCAGCCGTTCGCAGGCGTTCTTTTGCGCATGGGCACTTCCGAAAGGGCTGGGATGGGTTGAGAGTTTAAGGTCTCAGGGTTGCATGCGTAAGTAGCAGGCTTAGTATGTTTATTCTTATTGATCTTTTCATCCTTCTTATTTTTCTTATTGCAACCCTACAACTCCCATTTAATTTGCTTAAGAACCCCAAAAGAACAAAATAATACTAACCCCTATATTCCCCTTATAAGGAAGAATAATAATATAGTTGTTGGTTTTACTTGTTGGGGGTCTCTTAGGCAATCAGTAGACGAGGTTTTGGGGTGTGAAGCATGGCTCCTGCCTTTTTGCTTTCACGCTCGAGACGCATCGCTTGGAGCCGCGTGCAACGATGGTACCTGAACTGCGGGCAGCGACATAGCAATGTTTAAGACCGCCAAGCTCCAGACCCTACTAAACCCTTAACCCTAGACCCTAGACCCTAAACTCTAAACTCTAAACCCTAAACCCTAAACCCTAAACCCTAAACCCCAAGCCCAAGTCAAAAGGCCTCCACAACACAAGAGACCTCACATGGAGTTAACGGTTTTTAGGGCTCAGGCGGCTTAGGAATTTTGGGAGGCAACTGGGTCCTTGTTGGTTAGAATTTTACATTCTTGTCCTATTCAATTCCCCAATAGGGCATGAAATGAAAAGTTCTAATATGACCCAAACAAGGAAGTAGGTAAGATGCCAACCCTAACCCTTCAGCCCCTAAACCCTAAACCCTAAACCCTAAACCCTAAACCCTAAACCCTGTGAAGCCGAAGACCATCAACTTGTGGAACTCCGCCGAAGGGCCTTTAGGGTGTTTGGATTTTAGGGTTTAGGGTCCACAACCCTTCGCCCACATGAAGCAAGGTGTCCCTAAACCCTAAACCCTAAACCCTAAACCCTAAACCCTAAACCCTAAACCCTAAACCCTAAACCCTCTGTCGTTGGTGAGTGTACGTTGGGGCGCGACCCCTCCCAAACCCACACGCCCACCTCCAGGGTTGGGTTCGGGGGCTTCGGGTTTAGGGTTTGGGGTTTGGGGCTTGGGGTTTAGGGTTTAGGGTTTAGGGATTGAAGTGCTAGAGAGTTCCAGTGGCGTCATGAACCCTTGGTTCTCAACTTTACTACCGCCCTGCTTCAAACAGAAACCTGTCCTTTGCTGGGATAGTTAAGCCGAAGGCTATTCAAGGGGGGAACCTGGGGGTGAGAGCGGGGGGGGGTAGAGAGGGGTAGTAGGGGAGCCCATGATTCTGCTCTGGGTACCCAGTGGTACCTTTTTCCCTTTTTGGGGTTCAAGGTTCCCTGATTAAGTAAGTAGCCAACCCACAAAAGGGAGATGGCTACTGGGCTACCAAGTAGTTGGTGGCGCGGTGGTTGCCCTGCGTTTTTGGTGGTTTCCAGGTCCTCGTTGGCCTGGGGCGGGAAAGGGGGGCGGGGATGGGGGGTGGGGATGAGGGGGAGGGAGGGGATGAGGGGATGAGGGGGAGGGAGGGGAAGGAGGGGATGAGGAGGGGGAACAATAACTAACGTCATTCACTCGGCGACCATGCCCAAACACCGGTATTTGCAGCGTTCTCGCCCAACAAGGATATCTGACGCTCTGGAACAAGACACGCTGTCACAGGCGTTCATGCCTTTGGCGAACATGCCCAAAAGAGCTGGTATTCTACAGCTTTTTTGCCTCTCTGTACAACATACTGCACAAGGATCTTTGACGCTGTCACAGCCGTTCATGCCTTTGGCGAAGGTGCTCAAAACACTGGTATTTTGCCATCTCTGTACAACATATACTGCACAAGGATCCTTGACTTTTCTGGAACAAGACGTGCTGTCACCGAAGTGCATGCCTTTCGTGAACATGTCGCCAAAAGATCTAACTCTGCTTCTGACTGCAATAGTTTCCGGGAGCCTCCTCGACCCATGTTTCCTACCAATCCCTCGAAAGCCTAGGTTTCCTAGCACTTCTGAAGCAAAACTTCGATCTGCAACCTATGCGCCCGCACCCAAGCAGTTCTCCCAAAGCCCAAAGCCCAAAGCCCAAAGCCCAAATCTTATCACCTCTTGAAGGCACGTTGGGGACGAGGTGTCTGTCACTTGCGTCTCATGCAACCCGGAACCCTAAACACCTTAAGAAATGAAGCGGTTGAGGGTGGAGGGTTCAGAGTTGTTTCCACGGCAGGTTGCGATGATGAGGAGGAGAATTCGCCAGGCCGCATACCGGCGAAGAAGCTTCTCAACATCCTCAAGAAGGACTTGAGAACTAAGTGGGTATTTCCCAAAATAGGGGACCTCCTTATACACCCCAAGCAACTTTAGTCATTGTTATCGGAGCCCTCAAACAGACTACCTGTACATTTTAGGCCCGCACATGACGTACGGCTCCTGAAATGGAAGGCTGCTTACTTGCCGGCATTGTTGGCGCAATGAACATTAGGTTTATAGAGCTTAAGAGTTCGGGAAAGACGGCTGTTGTGGTAGGTACTGAAACTGACGGCATGACGAAGCCTAAGCGCTTCAAAAACCCATGGAAGGCTCGGTATGATTTTAGCCCAAGAAGCGTACATCTTACCCAACCTACCAATTCAAGCTCGGTAGGATCTCTTAGATGAGGCATTCCACCCCCTGAGGCCCAAGAGCGGGATGGGCTATGATACCCCTCTAATCCCTCAAAAGGCCCTTTGTAGGGTTCATTGTTGGGATTCTAGGGCCCAATAGCCCATCCTGGTAAGGCCCCGTATTTCTCTGCGCTTTTTGTTAGAAAGATTTCCCCGGTTCAGAATATGATGAGACTCAAGGCCACCATGGGGAGGATTTGGGTCTAGGGCTTTGAGGGTTTAGGGTTTAGGGCTTAGGGCTTTGAGGGCTTAGGATTCAGCATCTCAAGTTCGATCCTTCACCGGTTTAGCAGTGACCTTGCCCGCTATTGTTATGACCAAGAGCGGGCAAGGTCATAAAAGTAGCGGGCAAGGTCAGTACAAGGTCATAAAATTGGCGGGCAAGGTCACTACAAGGTCATATGGACCTTGTAGGTGACCTTGCCCACTATTTTTATGACAAAGAGCGGGCAAGGTCTTCAAAACAGTGGGAAAGCTCCCTAGAAGGTATAGAAATAGCGGGCAAGGTCACTACAAGGTCATAGAATGTGCAGGCAAGGTCACTACGAGGTCGTATGAACCTGGTGGGGACCATTTTTATGACCTTGTCGTGACCTGGCCCGCTATTTTGATGACAAAAAGCGGCAAAGAAATGGCGGGCAAGGCAGCTACAATCCCTATAAACATAGCGGGCAAGGTCATTACAAGGTCGTACAATTGGCAGACAAGGTCACTACAAGGTCATATGGACCTTGTAGGGACCCTGCCCGCCAATTGTACGACCTTGTAATGACCTGGCCCGCTATTTTATGACCGAGGTCCGAAAAATAGCGGGCAAGGTCACTACAAGGTTTAAACGTAGCGGGCAAGGTCATTACAAGGTCTTAAAAATTGCGGGCAAGGCCACTACAAGGTCCATGTAACCTTGTGGTGTCCTTGCCTGCCAATTTTGCCTTCCATTTTTATGACCTTGTAGGGACCTTGCCCGCAAAGTCATTAACATATATTGGATTTGTAAGAGTGGTTGAGGGTCCCCAAGCCATCAACCCTAACTTTTTTTTTTTTTTTCGGGGGGTGGGGGGGGGGGGGGGCGTTGACGTTTGAAGCTTGGAGGGTTATTTCAATTGGGTCCAGTGGTCCGGGGTCTAATGGTGCTTATTGGGAAGTCCCCCGGGTTTAATTCCATCTTTGAGGAGAGCTCTGATGAAGAAATACAAACATAGATGGGGCAAATGTCTCTATACCTCTATACATATGAATCCAGATATACAAGACAATTCCTTTGGGAACTTGTATTTTAGAGCAGCTGTCAAATCGAAGATTAGTCAGTCCTCTTAGGACGTTTTTATGTTTGGATACAACACCCGGGCGAACATTCAAAACTGCCATTCATAATTGTCTGCTGTTGTGGAGGTGTAGGGGGAGTCTAAAGACGTGCAAGAACAGAGCCTACTTGGAGGTCAAGGTACATATAATCCCAGTGTAAGCCCCCGAAGTCCTCCTAAGTAGGTTTGTCAACAGACTTCTACTTGGGGTCAGCAGTGCCCATGAACCTTCCAAGTAAACCCTGGAGGACCTGGCCGACGCGGAGAAAATGACCAGCGCCCTTCCGTCTTGGAAGCAGCCGCAGTTTCAAACCCCGAAGTGAGCCGCACGGCCCTGGGGAGGAGTGTGAGGGTTTTCTGGCTGTAGGGCTTGGAGGCTACGTTTGCTGCATGTAAGCATGTACTCTTGGTAGACTTCTTTGGGGAGGAGGGAGGGGGGGGGGGGGGGGGCGTGCATGCGATTCCTCTTTCCTTCCGGCGTCAAATCTCTAAATCATCCTGACCTGGTTGATTGACCGACGGAGTCTTCACTGGTTAGGTGCACGGTGGGCACACTGCTTGTACAGCTATGCAGGTTCAATGCAAATCAAGTGCACATGGGTTCTGGGGTGTGAGCGACTAGGTAGACAAAGTTCTTCATGTGTTCCCACCGACGGCTGCATTCTATGCTTCTCGACACTGGTTCACAATCGTAGCCCGAGACGTCGAGGTGCCACTCGCAAAAAACAAGTCTCCGCCTAAACTCTTGGGAATAGGAAGCTTCCCGACTTTAGCAGCTGGTGACTAGCAGCTAGTGGCGAGTGCGAGAGCCTGAGCGCCGAAAACACCACCAGGTTTAGGGGTTTAGGGTCTACTTGAGTTTGGACTCTCAAGCTGAATTGGGCGAGGATGTGCAGGAGGCAAGAGTCATAGAGTTCTTAAGTGAGGGGGGTTTCAAGGGGGGTATGTAACCCAAAGCTTCCCTACGGTTCCCTAGGTATCTACCCCCATGAAGCCCCCTTACCTCCTTGTCTGTGTGAGGCTACGCACCTGAGAGTTCTACGAGGGGTGAAACAATGACTTACAACATAGTGTTTCGCAGGTCTGACCAAAGCCCCGCCCTCAGGGCGGGGGGGGGCGGGGGGTGGGGGTGAAAAGGCAACCCTAAATCCTAAACCCTAAACCCTAAACCCAATTCCCCCCAATTCCCCCCAATTCCCCCCAATTCCCCGCAATTCCCCCCCCCCCCCACCCTAAACCTTAAACACTAGACCCTAAACCCTAAACCCTAAACCCTAAACCCTGAACCCTGAACCCTGAACCCTGAACCCTAAACCCGAGCACCCGAACCCCCCCCCCTCCCCCCCCACAAACAAAAGCGACATGCGACAGGGCCGTCCACGGCCTCGCACAGGACCTCGTCCGGCAAGTGGCGGTCTCAGCCTCCTGAGGATCCGAAGTGGTTTAGGGTTTAGGGTTTAGGGTTAAACTCTAAACCCTAAACCGGGTTAACGATATTCGAGGTACCTTATTGGGGTCCTTAGTATGAGGGAATCCTACTACTTGAGGGTTCTATATTCGGGTCCCTGATTGTCGTAAACCTCCATTTCTTTTCCTTTCAGCGTCCTTTTCGGCTTGGTTGAGGGTCTAGCATATGGGGGGGTCGTTGCGGGCATCAGTTGTCGCGGTAAGTCATTATACAAGTATACATACAAATAGATCATATTCGACGCGAATATATAGAAGACTCCAGGCTTAGTCGTGTTTTTGTTAAGCGTTCCAGGGCGTCTTTCCATAATTAGGATCCGAGGCAATGAGCTCTTAAGCTTAAACCCTAAACCCTAAACCCTAAACCCCAAACCCTAAACCCTAAACCCTATACCCTAAAACCCAAAGCTTCCAACCAGAACCTCGCAGCTCCAGCTTCGTGGTTTAGCGGCTTAGGGAGGTTTCGTGCTGTGGCATCTTGCATCGGCAGGCAATAGGAGCGGTTTCGGCCTGACAAGTAGGGGTTGGGGTGTTGGGAGGGTTCAGGGTTTAGGGTTTAGGGTTTAGGGGTTAGGGGTTAGGGGTTAGGGTTTAGGGTTTAGGGTTAGGGTTAGGGTTTGGGAGGGTTTGGATAGTACATGAAGGGTAACTACACGGTCTCCTAATTTGGTCCCTTACCATCCCTACAGTGTGGGGCCCCTTAGTTATAAATGCGTTAAGATGCTTATATGTAATTTGAAGCACCTATAACCAACTTATGACGTAAGTTTGTCAAGTTAGTTCGCAAAATTTTAAGTTGATGTACAAGTTACAAAATGTTGTTTTTGTAGTAAAACACATGCAGAGCCCATGTCTTAAAAAAGAACAGGTTTTATCCTGCAACGGCCAAAACAGCTCGCAAGTCACTTTTTTCCCCTCCATTCTGCCTGTGTCACAGCTTAGCTGCCGGGATTTGTTATCGGAGAAACGAAAGCTGTCTGGCTGAGACCGGCTGCAGGTCATAAGAGATACAACGCTTTTTGCTCGCCGGGATGTGTGCCGGATGTGGGTTTGGCATGTGTCCGCATCCTTCCTTTTTGGCGTGTCCCGAATGTGTCCGGGAGTCCGGTGTTGTCCGGTGTGTTCCTCTCTTCTGGCCCATGTGTCTGCTCGTGTGTCCCGGATGTGTCCCCGTTGTGTCCCGGATGTGTTTTGAATGTGTACCGAACGTTCGACCGTTTCTCCAGCTCACCAGGGCTTCTCTGGACTGCTTCGGGGTCACGACAGAAAACTCGTCAAAGTCAAAGTGAGCCAGTCCTGCAGGGCCGCGCGTGTCGCGAAGGCAAAGAGCAAAAAGAGGGAGCAAACGGGGGTCAGAAGCCAGACGCGTCGCACAACACGGCCCGGAACATCAGTTGTAGAAACTCCTCGAGACAACAAGATCTTTTGAAGCAGACCGTCCTAGATTTGACAATCACAAGCATGGATCTGATGTGATCACTGTTTTTTTAAAGCTAAGTTGTAGAAGTTACCGATAAGTTGGGTACAAAACACAAATGACTAACTAATATCTTTGAGAAACAGTTTGTCACTAAACCATGAACTTTATTTACAACTTAAAAATAATGTTAGGAAAGTTAGAAATTGATTTATATGGGCCCTTGTTTTGTATAGGGTAGATTACACGGACCTATACCAAGGGCCCATGGAACTACCCGGAGATCGGTTTGGGGTTTAGGGTTTAGTGTTTAGGGTTAGCACCGTGTTGTGCATTCTTTTGATCTGGTGGCGTGCCTGGATGCTCCAACCTGTGCAATTGGTCAACCCCGCGCGGAAGCAAAAACTCCACCAACGACCGCATACATTGCATGAGGAGCTCCACCGTTTAACGATTGAACGTCGGAATCCTAAATCCTACTCTATCGACCCCAAAGCCTGAAACCTAAGCCCTGTAAGCCATATAAGCCCTATACCCCCGACATATCCTTTCAACCCTTTCAGCCCTTGCAACCCAACAAACCCTATATCAACCTTAAAAAAAACCTAAACCCGGTTTTGTTGCTCTCTAAGGTGCGCTACTTCCACAAGTTGTATCCCTTGGCTCATGCACTGCTGCTTTCTGGGCTCGTGACTGCTGCCGGGCACCCGGAGCCAACCAGCACACGAGTTTTCTTCCCAGCAGCTGCGGGCAAGATTTATCCCGGCTTCAGATGTCTTCTGTAGCTGGCCTCGGATGTACAGTTCCGTACCAACCTGTGCCAAGATCTTAGTACTAGGGTCGACTGAATCCTCACCCATTCTCATCTCGTAAAAGCAGCTAAGAGTCCAAGTCTCCGAAACTCGTCGACGTTATTTCTGCAGCCTCCTGTCACCACGCATCTTCTCTGGCCGTCAGAAGACGCGAAGCCTTAGTAGTAGAGTAGGCAGCCTTTCACCTTTTTAGGGTAATCTAATCCCCCTTATTAGTCCCAAAGGTTAACCTTTAGTTCCCCTGGCTACTGGACAACTAAGAAGCTGCAGATCAGGGTACTGAAGTTCAGGCCATCACACCAGCAGTCTCAGAATCGTACCGTGAATACACGCCCAACCTTTTTTTGCCCGTGTACAAGTTATATGTGTATACTGTGTATGTTGGTATTTACAAGTGCGTATATGTATCCGTATATATAGATATATACGTACATGTACATATACATATGCTTAAGCCATTTTATGCCTATGTCGCGACCTCTATTTTTGAGCATACCAGACTCGGTGCATGCATCTGAATCGATCATCAACTTGAGCTGTGCCTTGCCAGCTAGGTTTGCGAGTGCATGGTGCTGCTGAGCCTCATCTTCGTTCACCACTTCCCCTCCATGCCGGTCAGATCCTGAATTTCGTGGGGTTTTGGTTTGGGATTTCGGGGGGTGCATCCTCAACACCCCGGCCGAAACCCTAAGCCCTAATCCCCCAAAGCACCCCAACCCCTCCGAACCCCCGAAAAAGATTAATACATATAAAAACAAGAAAGACACCAACAAAGCACCTAAAAACCCAAACACCCCTCAAGATGACCGCCCTTAAGGGCTCGCAGTTCTGTCATCTCGCCATGTTTATAGATAGTTCAGGGGAAGCTGAATCTGAAGAGGCTAGGCCGGCCCTAAACCCTAAACCCTAAGCTCTATAATCCCTAAACCCTAAACCCAAGACCTTGCGGAGGCTAGGGCAGAAAGTGTTGAGGAGCTATGGAGGGCGTAGCAGGACTTCGGCTTTTCGGTGAAAAAACAGGGGTGTGGAAGGAGGATCAGCACCCCCTGGAAAGTTTGCGATGAGGGTTTAGGGTATGTCTTCCATCGAAGTTTCGTACTTGGTCTCTGAATCTGGCCCTGGACCTGCTTTAAGGGGAAAGGGCTCTGAAGTATGGGCCCTTGGGTTGTAGAGGGTTTTTCAGGGGTATCTAAGGCGTTCCCATTTAAGGGCCCATACCCATACTAAGGGTTTAAGGGCCCATATTAAGGGACCATGCAAAGTACCCTAAGGTTCCAGCAGGGGCTCATCATGAATGATCATTTTCAGAAAGGATGCCAGGATCTCCGGGGAACCCTCCCCCCCCTCCGCTCTCCGCCGTGTAGCGCTAGGGTCCTTGTCAGCCCGGTTATGCAAAAGTGCTCTAGGGTTGGTTTGGGAACCCAGGTTCCATCAACCCCAAAACTATGACCAACAGAAAACAAAACAAACATACTGCAAGGTTCTCTTAGGTCCTGGGTATGTAAACTTTAACCCTTGTGGGCCATTCTAAACCCTCTTAATGCCCGAAGTATGAAGCTTTTCGTCCCCTGGCAAACTCGGCCCCTTCCGTTCTCGGGCAACCGACGGTGAAATAGGTTTGGGTTTGTCAAGCTAGAACTCAGGGGACGAAAGGATGCAATCTTCTTCGAAAGGACCCCAGGCCCATTTAGGGTTTAGGGTTTAGGGTTTAGGGTTTAGGGTTTAGGGTTTAGGGTTTAGGGTTTAGGGTTTAGGGTTTAGGGTTTAGGGTTTAGGGTTTAGGGTTTTGAAGCCTGGAGTCCGAGACCGAGGAAAGTGAGCAAAGTTTGTGACCCCTGAGGTGTTGTGGCAAGTCTACTGCGGGACACGCACTCAGTCACGTTCCTTGTCGCTGGTGCCCGAAAAACCCGGAAATGCCGAACCCTCAATCCTGACTGCCTCGGGGGGCGCCTTCATCTGCTGCCATAGATGCGCAAGTCCTAGTCGTGCTTGCGTGCCTCAACGCCATGACGAACCCGAAAAAAGAGTCTTTTCATCGAATGAACCTAAGTCCCTCAAGGCCTAGATACATTGGGTTTAGGGTTTAGGGCTTAGGATTTAGGATTGGTTCTGCCCTCAAACCCCAAACAACCCACGATGATCAGCTCTGAGATAGTACCCCCATATTGTGATCCCTATTAAGGACTGTTAGTGTAAGGGGGAACATCCTATATTCATGAAGATGTATGTATCTATATGCACTGAGACCCGGAAGCCCGAAATCCTAGATCCGCCAAGCCCTAAACTCTAGGCGCTTAAAACCTTTAGAGTCCACGGTTTTAGGGTCATGGGGTTTAGGTTTTAGGGTTTTAGGGTTTAGGGTTCAGGGTTTACATAGGGTGTGTAGGTTTTAGGGTGTTGGGGCTTTAGGGTTTACAGTTTCTGAGAGGACAGTTGGTGTGGGAGCCTCCCTGGCGCTGGCAGTGTGCCATTGGCCTTGGCAGAGGGTTTGGGGTTTGGGGAAATTTGGTGTTTAAGGTTCAGGGGTTTAGGGTTTAGGGTTATAGGGTTTAGGGTTTAGGGTTTAGGGTTTAGGGTTTAGGGTTATAAGGGTTTAGGGTTTAGGGCTATAGGGTTTAGGGTTTAGGGCTGAGGACTTTCAGCGCTCTAGCTTGGCAGTTTGGGTCCTCGACAGCTACCCCAAGCGGAGTCCCTCTTGAGAATGGAGACCCTAGACCTCCCGAAACCCTAAACCCTAAACCCTAAACCCTAAACCCTAAACCCTAAACCCTAAACCCTAAACCCTAAACCCTAAACGTTTGTGGATAGAGGGTTCATCGGGCTTGGAGCTTTTTCGGTCGGTTCCTTCTCTCTTGTAAGGGATACCGGCTCTTCAAAGGCGGGGACCTCGAAACATAGGAACTACAAGGGCCAGGAAACCGAAGAAGGCCCTTATTCCCTTTTTCAGGGGTCCAAGAAGCACCTCTTTTTGCTTTTAGGTTTCTCGTGGGTCGAGAGGGGGGGTTCTAGTTTCCTGTAGGTTAATTACTGTTTTCAGCACCCCTGGCGTTTTCAGGGTTATAGGGATATTCGCGCTGAGGGGCCCCTTGTACCTGGCGGAAGTGCTGCCATGGAGCCCCGAAACCCTAAACCCTAAACGCTAAACCCTAAACCCTAGCAGAAGCCCTACTGTCGAGGCTTGCTGTCCCTTTGGAGAAGCAGCACGCCGCGCGAAGTGGCAGAGAAGGCTGGGAGCCATGTAGGGTATTGAAAAGCCAAACCCTAAACCCTAAACCAGGGCCTTGGTTCCTCGGTGCCTTGGTAGGGTTTATAGGGTGTGAGCAGTTTAAGGTTTAGTGTTTAGGGTTTTGGGCTGGTGGCTAGGAATATCATATCTTTGACAGCAATTTTGCAAAGCTTAGGGCCTAGGTCGACAGGGGTCTTCAGGGTTGATAGGCTCTCATATAGTTCCTGTGCCCCTGGAGCAAGGCCACCATACTGGGGTTTAGGGTTTAGGGTTTAGAGGGTTTAGGGTTTAGGGTTTATAGGGTTTCAGGGTTTCAGGGTTTCCCGAGGCCAGAAACCTTCGAGATCGACTTGCCGTGCTGTTCCCTGAAAGGAGCCGAGCGAGGCCTCGCTGAGCCCCGCGCGGCGTCGGTCGTCGAGGCTTCTGCAGCCCAGGCAGGCTCGTTACGGTTTAGGGTTTAGGGTTTAGGGTTTAGGGTTTAGGGTTTAGGGTTTAGGGTTTAGGGTTTAGGGTTTAGGGTTCAGCATCGCCTGGATGTGTTGCCTTAAGAAACTCGGAGCACGATGATGGCCACTTGGGGAACTCTAACCTCTAGATCTAAAGCCCGAAGCCCTGGCAGGCTGTTGACATCCTGTCGCTTTGTCGTGATGCCGGGTGGAGCCTGGTTGTTTGATGTGTGTTGTTCCAGTTCCTCGGTTCAATGAGGGTGTGCAAGGTTTCCGAATGGCTCACGCACATGTGCTGTAGGCCTCTTGTGGAGACAATTAAAGTGGTCTGAGGGAGTGAAGGGATTCTGCGACAACAGGCAAAAGTAAGAAAAAAACACACACACACATTTAGTTCGGCCCTGGGGTTCAAGGAATTGTTCTCATGTCCACCGCTCACCCCCCCCCCTCCCCCGGGCAGCCAACATCCAAGCGGAGGCCGAGGGAGGAGGAGAGACCGCTGGAACACTTGCGGGAGCCCTTGCTGCGTTGAGGCGGGGGCCACTGGGAATGGACGGCACATGGTCAGCATTAGCTTACCTTAATTCTGTTACCTTAATTGTAGGTGACTACTACTAGGAATCTGAAGTATCCTTCAACATAGTCGGTTATGGGTTCTGAGGGTAGGGTTCCTTTCTCAAAGGGTCCATCTACCCGTCTATGGTACACTGGGGCAGGGGTTCCTATGCAGTAACTTCTGAGCCCAAGTGTATACTTTATGGGTACATGGACCCTTTGCTTTATCGCGGTTCCGACTATCCTACGGAGCCCTAGTTTTCAAGAGTCCACCTCGCCCATGTTTTCGTAGGACCTGCAAACAACGTAGGCTTTTTGGTTGCTCAATGTGTCGTCAGCGTGGGCCGGCATGAGCTGTGTTCGTGTGCTATGGCCGCCCCAAGTAGGGAGCCCACAAATGCCCATAACGAGCTCTCGGGTCATGTGCACACCACCAAGGTTTCTGACTTACGTCAACTCGGTTCTAAGAGTGGAGTAAATCCCAATGACCCCCACAGCCCCAAAACTCTCGTGCGCCCCCTATGCGAATGCAGGTCTTGCACGACATGCGCAACTGAGAGGTGCCAAAGATTGCCTCAGGCACCAACGGGCCCAAGGGCGCAGCAACAGCGACGCTGCACCTGCGGATCCCCACCGTTTTGGTGCGGATGGCTTGCGCCCTGCGCGAAAATTGGTTGTGTCATCATGGGCACGGTTGATGAAGCCAAAGCCCTTCAGCAGATTCCTGAACAAACCCTCACAGGGCAGAGTGCCCGCGTCTCCTAAGTACACTCAAAGTCCTGCAGAATCTCGAAGAGTATCCCTGGAGCGCCCACCATGCTGAGCAGAAGTTCAAGCACAGCCCGATGTCTATGAAGCATGTGAAGTCTTCCTGTTCCCCTCTAAAAGTACCCCATTCAGACAGGGCGAAAGGCGAAAGTAGGGTGCAAGTGCCGGTAGTATGGGCATGGTGAATCGGCACTTGTGGTGGGTCGTGGACTCCGACCTTGCAAGGGCAGCTTTCAGAGTCTTTATGGGAAGTTCTCCAAATTTGTGTCCTGTACAGTATGGCAGCCTTGAAATAAGGACCCCCAAAGGGAACTCTAATTTAGAGAACTACCCTTGCGGTGTGAGGTGGACAGCAAGGTGCTTGCGTGGGTCGGCAGCAGGCGGTAATGGGGCTTTAAGGTTTATCGGTCTTCGAGCATAGGGCGGTAAACCCTGAACCGTGAACCCTACACCGTAGAACCTAAACTCTACACCGGCTTCCTGGGCATTGTGTTTACAGATCTGGCATGACAGGGCAATGATTTATTCTGGCATGCCATTAAGCCCTATAAACCCGAAGCCCTAAACCATAACGTGTTGCGATTTTGTCCTTTCCATGGCACACGAGACTGCGTTGAGACTTGCTGTCAGCGTTTGGCTTACAAGGAACATCCTCATGAAGCCCCACTCCACTGATACCTGTGCTAAACGTCTCCCGTCCATGTTAACAAGTCCGAAGAAATGGCCTAGTCGGGGTGCACGCGAGCCCCCAGTTTCCGCCATGTCAGGTTTATGGAGCAATGAGCGGCGATCAGAGCCCCCCCCGCCCCCACGCAATCCACGACATCAAACCCCCAACTGCAGTGTGTGACAAGACAGTATGCGGGCTGGGCGGCTGGCAGGCACCAACTGTGGGATTGTTGGCCCTAAGCCCTAAAATGCCTGTGTTTGCAATGACGAGGACGCCACTCTTAATTCCCCTTTTAGTAGGTTAGGTGCCTTCTCCAAGCCCGTGAAGCGAAACTGGGGGGCACCTTGGGGGCAATACCTGGAAGCCCTACTTATTGCATCCTTCTTGCCCTTGATTTCATTGTTCATTGTTGCCTTCAGGGTCGGGTGAGCCCTAAACTCTGAAATCCTGCTTGGTTCCCACAAGAAGTATGCTGAGGCTGGGGCGGTCGATCGGGTGGCATTGGGGAACTACCTGCAGTGGGATTTAGGTCTATAGGGTTTAGGGCCCTTACCGGGAGTGGCGACTAGTTCTTCGCTTAGTTCTTCCACAAATTGCCATCCGGACCCGAGAGCCTGAGTGGCCCAAGTAGCACGGAGCAGCATTGCCGATGCGCGTACCAGCCGAGACTAGCCCGGGAATATAAGGATCCATATGAACCTTATGCCTTGTGTCGACCTTCTCCCTGTTCCCGAGGTTGGGTGCTTCTGATTCTGATTTCAGCTACCCACTCAGAGGCCGGGTGGCTCGGAGGGCTTCGGCAGACCCCTAAGCCCTGCACCGACAGACCATTCTTGAAGTTTCGCGTTGATCCGCGCAGAGTCCCAAATCTACTTGCTCGATGATGACAAAGTCTCGTCAGCCAGCCAAGTAGCTACAAAGTAGTCAGTCCGAAACCCGAACCCTTGAACCCCAAACCCTGAACCCCAAACCCTGCATAAACCCCAAATCACACTTTGCTGCGCCCCAGGTAGTCGGTTTGCTTAGTTTCATCCAGAAGCCACTCTTCAGAATGCTACATCGGATCACATAAGTAGCTGATAAACTACCCACAATACTCCATGAGCTCATTTACCTACTTCTCCGACTCGATCGGCCCATAGAGTTAGCTCATACCCTACCCACAGTACGCCACTAAGCCTCTGACCCCCTCAACCCTAAACCCATGAACCTGTGAAACGAGCAACGCGTCTGTGACCTAGAATACTTGGAGGTTCAAGGTACTTATAATCCCATTTATAGCTGTACTTATAAGCCCCCTGCCTAAGTCCTTTAAGTAGGTTAGAAGTAGAAGTAGACTTCTAGTTGGGGTTAGAAGTACCCATAAACCTCCAAGTAGCATCCGCGGCCCTGATGTACCCCACATGGGGCCTGTGAGCCTACCCCTCTCCTGTTTCTGAGCCAGAGGGTTCCTCTAAACCCGAAACTCCAAACCCTAAAGCCCTAAACCCTATAAACCCTAAACCCTAAACCCTAACCGCTCAACGTTCGGAGCCAGGAACCCAGGCCCAACTGCAAGAAGTATCCGCAGCTATGTGCTGACACGTGCCGAGCTCGGCTTGGGAGGGAAGAGCTTTGCCGTTCTTGTCACAGACTCCAGGGTTTAGGGTTTAGGGTTTAGGGTTTAGGGTTTAGGGTTTAGGCCTACACCTTGAGCCCTACCAAGACGGGCTATCAGACCCTATAACCCCTTAGAAGGCCCTTTGTAGGGTTGATTATGGGGAGTATACGGCCTAATAGTCCATCCTGGTAAACCTTAAATTCAGGGCGCGGGCTGCCCAAGATCCTCATGAGATTTTTTTTCTGGGGGCGGGGGGGGGGGGGGGGGGGGGGAGAGGGGGGCTGTAAGTTTGACCCCGCCCCCTTCCCATATCTCGTTAGACCCCTAGACTCTAACACCCCCTCAAGCGCTGAACCCTAAACGCACCAAGCCTGGACCAGGTCTGGATATATTGTGGTTCTCGATGCCGGGAGCACCGGCACGAGGGTACATGTCCGAAGCTCAGAGCCCTCGCGTTCATCATAGGATCCTTAAGGAAGGGCTTTGGGGTTTAGGGCTTAGGGCTTAGGGTTTAGGGTCAAAAGGTCTTGTCGGGAGAAGCTCAGAGACCGCAGGGAGTACCATAGGGAGCATTGGGCTACTTATCCCTGCCTGGGCTTAAAGAGCTAGAGCTCTGGGATGTTCTTTGACATGCAGGGTTGAGGGTGATCACGGCTACCACAAAGGGCCCCTACTTGCAACATGGCCCCCGAGGATTTTGGTTAGGGGCCTTTGGCTTAGGCTATGTGGTGTTGCTTAGGGTTAGGGTTTAGGGAGGCCCCCCCCCCCCAGGTCCCCCCCAAGAAACTCCAATACTCCTCAATTAGGGAAGATTCCTTAAACCCTAAACCCTAAACCCTAAACCCTAAACCCTAAACCCTAAACCCTAAACCCTAAACCCTAAACCCTAAACCCTAAACCCTAAACCCTACCCCTTTGAAGCGAGGTCTTCAACTACGAGTACCGCAAGCTGGAGCCGCGACGCTTTCCCCTCATCGTCAGCCCTCCGCTGACCCTGCCATCAGGCAGGGGGGGGGCTTAGATGGCGTAGGGTTTAGGGTTTCGGGTTTAGGGTTTAGAATAGGGTTTATAGGGTTTATAGGGTTTATAGGGTTTATAGGGTTCATAGGGTTTATGGGGTTTATAGGGTTTAGGGTTTATAATAGGGATTTCGGCACACGCATCTGCAGCTTCATGCTGCGACCTTAGGGGGTTTAGGGTTGACAAGCTATGAGGTTGACTCCATATTCGAATGCCTCCCAAAGCCTAAGTGACCTAAACTCCAACCCCCCTAAACCCCTAACGCCTAAACCCTCACCCTGAACCCCGCAGAGCCGACCCAGCGCATGATGTTATCGCGACACTGCCGGGTGTCGGCCCAGAGCCTCATCTGCGCCACTTGCAACATGACACACGGGGGATGGGCCGGATTGTATACGGTCTAGGGCAGTTGGGGTCTAGGGTTTGGGGTTCAGGGCTTAGGGCTCAGGGCTTAGGGCTTAGGGCCTAAAGGTATGAGGCTGAACAGCTCTTCTAACTCTGAGCATCGCCCCTAGAGCTCCCAATTGTGGTTCCTTTCTTGTGCCTGATTGTCACAACATACCTGTATACGGAAAGACAGCCCAAGTCTACGCATAACCGCAAAGTTAGGTATCATCAAGTAGAGGTCGGAGTCTAGGTATCCCTAAACCCTAAACCCTAAACCCTAAAAACTATCGTGGTTCCTTCATGCTGTAGCCTCTAGCCGCGCCGAGCGATGCAAGAACGTTGCGGCGTGGCCACCCCGCTGGAGAAGCGAGGACGTCAGCGGCCCACGAACTCGCAGGATCCTCGACCGAGTTTGGCACAGTTGCGCTGTTTGGGTTCGGGGTTTAGGGTTTAGGGTTATAGGGTTTAGGGTTTAGGGTTTAGGGTTTAGGGTTATAGGGTTATAGGGTTATATAGGGTTATAGGGTTGTAGGGTTGTAGGGTTATAGGGTCATAGGGGTTTAGGGTTTAGGGTGTGTTTGCTGGACCTTGCATGCCTCCAATGGGAAGCGCGGGATCCATAGCTCACCCTTTAGCAACTTTAGGGTTTAGGGTTTCGGGTTTGGGCTTTGGGGTTTAGGGTTTAGGGGTTTGGGGTTTAGGGTTTAGGGTTTAGGGGATTTCCGGGGGGGGGGGGGGGATTCAGTTACTCATTTCATGTGCAAGGCATCTTCCTGAGTAACTGGGTAGAGGGCTCTCGGGTGCCCCCCCCCCCCCGAGAGAACCCGTGAGGTGGGAGACGTGGAGAGCACAGAGACGATGGCTGCTCGCACGTGGCGCAAGAAGTTGGCCCGGTGTCTTGACGTCGCCATCGACCTCGACACTTCCATTCCCTGCCCAGGCCTCTCGACCTCGAGACCCAAAGACTGGTTTTGTTAGGTGCGATTATTGTTCCTTAAGGGTAATATGGGGATTATTATTATTATTTTTATTATATATATATATATATATATATTTTTTTTTTTTTTTTTTTTTTGGGGGGGGGGTGTTCTTAAGCAAATGGTAGGTAATTGTTTCGAAAGTCCTTTTAGCATTTTTTGGCCTTGTCTACATCGACAAAGTTGGGGCTCTTAGGCTACAGTCTTGCAAGACTCTGCCCATCGAATAAAGCTTCCAGTGAAGCTCAAGGCATATAGGATTTAAGCGGACGGTTGAAGGTTTTTAGGGTTCCGGATTTTTCAGTTTGTAAATTCAATGGGTGACATCTGAGAGCCGTAATCAGCCGAGGCACGTCGGTCTCCCAGACATCTCCGAAGGGTCCTGAAAAGGATGAGGCAGTACATCGAAGAACAGCGCCGCTTACCGACATGCAGTTTGAGCAAATGCTTGCAAGCATGACGGAGGCCCCAAAGTCAGGAGAGAGAAAGAAGAAGACCGGGCGAAGGGGCACGCGTGTCGTAGAAGGGAAATGTGAGGACAGCTCTTCACCTGCGCGGAAGCGCTCCCACCCTGGTCCAAGCTCGACGAACCCCGGCAAGGCCAGCAAGAAGGCAGGTAAAGCAAGAACGGCAGACGCCCAGTTCGAGCAAACGCTTGCGAGGATCACGGAGGCCGCAAGGCCTGGCGACAGAAGGAAAACCGGTGGCATCAGCACGTGTGCCATGGAAGGGAAATGTGAGGACAGCTCTTCACCTGCGCGGAAGCGCTCCCACCCTGGTCCAAGCTCGAGGAACGCTTGCAAGGCCAGCAAGAAGGCAGTGAAAGCAGGAACTCCGGACGCCCAGTTTGAGCGAACGCTTTCGAGGATGACACAGGCCTCAAAGCCTGGCGAGAGAAGGAAGACCGGCGGCATCAGCACGCGTGCCATGGAAGGGAAGTGTGAGGACAGCTCTTCACCTGCGCGGAAGCGCTCCCACCCTGGTCTTAGCTCGACGAACGCCGGCAAGGCCAGCAAGAAGGCAGTGAAAGCAGGAACTCCGGACGCCAAGTTTGATCAACCGCATTCGAGGATGACGGAGGCCTCAAAGCCTGTCGAGAGAAGGAAGACCGGCGGCATCAGCACGCGTGCCATGGAAGGGAAGTGTGAGGACAGCTCTTCACCTGCGCGGAAGCGCTCCCACCCTGGTCCAAGCTCGAAGAACGCTTGCAAGGCCAGCAAGATGGCAGTGAAAGCAGAAACTTAGCATCTCCAGCAGTACACGTTTTGTGTTGGTTCCATAGTTTCGGCTGGTTTAAGTTTGGTCGCCCTGCCTTGTCATTACATTATGGCCAAGGATAAGGACTTCGGCCACGACATTGGTTCATCAGTGTTCGGCCGACAGTGCAGGTTGCAAGGGATGCCAGCGCCCATTGTCACATCGCCGCTTCCGGAAGTTCCTTTCCCTGATGATGGCCGTAGTTTTCTGGCCTCTTTGTCCTTTGCTGATCTCAGTGTGCTGCGAACCACCTCCAATAATTCAAGACAAGCCGTGTTCCAAGAGATCTGGCGGCGGTGCCAGGACTACACTTACCTCCCGGGTCATTTCGATGCCCGATGTCCGAGGAGGACGCGCTCCGGGCGCATTCTGGGTGCACCAGACGCCGTCAAGGGCGTGGCGGATCGGCTCGTGCGGTTTCTTCTGCTTCATGCGAAGATTTTCCAGGTGGTGGATCTCAGGAATGCACCCATCATGGCATGTGAGTCTGACAACTTAGGCCCGGCATTGAGGAGCATGCCTCGCTTGCAGCACATCGTCCTCCCGTTCGAAGGGTGGAGCTCGCCAGCTCTCCGAAGGAACTTCCAGGATCTTCCGGTGGCTTGGTACAGCTGTGTGACGAAGCAGTTGGTACTCCTGTCGAGGAGGTGAGTGCAGTCCCCGGGTGCAGCTTGGGGTCAATGATGTCAATGCACAGGTTAGCTCATCGCCGGACTGGCACAGGACTTGAGGCAAAAGACCACCCACCCCCCCCCCCCCCCCCCGAAGCCTGAAGTGCCATGCCCTTGCGTGAATTGGTTCCGTGTTCACAGTTTCTTGAGTGGGCCATCGAATGATGAAGATTCGGAGTTCGACTGGGTGACTTTTGTTTGTAGGGGCTTTGCTGAACGTCGACATGGTTAGTTCTCTACATGAGGGTCCCTTTTTTGGATCCCGGAGAGCCTCATAAGAAGGACCCCCCAAAAGGGACCCAACTTCAAAGAACCACCCCCCATACCCCACATGGCCATCAGTGGCGCGTCGTGCATGCCCCCCGCAGCTTGCTCCAGAAAGCCCTTCCGCGCTAGACGCCTTCAACTTCGTGCCCACCCGTCCGAAACAGAACCAACTTTGTGTTACTCTTGTATCTTGGATGCACACGTATTCATGTATGTTTGTTTCTTGTAATTCCTGTTTTTATAAACATCCAATATTGTTTAGAGCTCTGCCTTCTCATCGAAAAACATGAAGAAGAAGCATGTCCATGCATCTGGATGAGGATGTTCTAGGGTTTTAGGGTTTAGGGTGTCAAATTCGAGCATTGGGCCCCTGTTTTGTTTTTGAGAGGGCTCTCAGTTCCAAGAGGCAAGCAGACACTCGCCATGCCGCCATGCAACCCCCTTCAATCACGTGCCCACACAAATCGGGCGTAGGTTCCTAAACCCTAAGCCCTAAGAGCGAAACCTTTATCTGAACCCCACACAAACAAACAAACAAGCAACAACAAGTTGTGGACCCCGTAGGTCTTCTTAATGTGTCTGTGTGTACGGTTTCCGAAAATAGGGTTCCTTTAGAGGTTGGAGGTTTTTCCTCTTCAGAGATAGCGACATATAGCTGTTCGAATCCATGCAGAGAGGCAAGGCCTCACGGTTGAAGCATTGAGGAAGTACAAGAAGCTGGTGGAGAAGCATGTTGCCAACGCAGCCCTTTTGCCAGAAATCGCGGTGGACACGCGGAAGCCGGGCCTCTCCTCCTTGGTGGACGATGCCTCGGCCATCAACAGGCAAGGACTTCTCCAAAATCGCGAGTTTCAGGGATGAGGGCTTCACTACCCAAAAACCGCGAGACCTAACCCTCCCGCCACTCTCTACAGCCCCCAGTGCAGCGGTTGGAAAGCTTCAGGGAGGGCGTCGGGGCGAACCTGAAGAACCCCCTCTCCCCTCCCCGCCTCCCCCCCCCCACACCCAGAACTGAAGGCCGAAGACCCCGAAGCCCCCCAGAGCCCTGTTGCTCCCTCACAAGCCTGAAGCCCGAAACGCACACACAGACCCTAACCCCAAACCTCGACATCGAGGCAACTCGGTGGTTTGCTCCAGTTCGCAGCCGATGTTGCTTGGCTAGAAAGGATTCGGAAACTGATGACGACTTCAGAGAAAGGTTCAGGGTTTTAGGGTTTATGGGGTTCATGGGGTTTATGGGGTTTAAAGGGTTTAAATGGGGTTTATATATGGGGTTCATAGCGTTTATAGGGTTTATAAGCGCGCTCATATAGGGCTTCCAGGGTTTGCCAAGGGTTCTGCTGACACGGCCACGCCTGAGTTTCATGTTCGCTCCCTCCCCCATCCCCAGCCTTCCTGCGTCGAGGGTATTCATTTTTTATCAGAACATACCAGGACGGGCTATGATTCCTTATAACCCCTGAATTAAAATGGCCCTTTATAGGGTTGATTATAGAGATCATAGGGCCTAATAGCCCATCCTGGTAAAGACATGCAGGCTGGCTTGTGAAAGCTCGCGGGGGGCTTGTCCGGAGGCTAAACTCCGAGTGCGAACAACAAACATAAGTTTTGGAGGCGTAAAATTCTTGATGGGCAGCTCATGAGCAGATGCCCCTATCTCCTCCCACGGCCGGACGTAGCAGGCTTCTGGGTTTTGGGCTGGCTTGGGATTTAGGGTTTAGGGTTTAGGGTTTAGGGTTTAGGGTTTAGGGTTTAGGGCTTCGGGTTTAGGGTTTAGGGCCTCTTTGAAGCAACATTCTTCCCGCAAAAGCGCCGCGGAAAGAGCCGCCGAGGCCCTGATGCTGCACAATCCCAAGGTCGAGCTCAAGCAGGCCTCGGCCCGATGCAGGGTTGGCTGTGGGGATGTTCCCCCTTGTACTAACAAGGCTTAGGGTATAGGGTTTAGGGTTTAGGGTATAGTAATTTAGGGTTTAGGGTTTAGGGTTTACGGTTTGGTAATTTAGGGTTTAGGGTTTATGGTCCTTTATAGCGGGTTATGGACTGTTAGTATAAGGGGGAACATCCCATAGGGTTCACTGTTGGGGAGAGACTGGGGCTTTGGGTTGTAGCAGGGTTTACCCAAAAGCTCCTATGTAGTACCTCTTCGGGGGTAGTGTACTAGAATCTCACAAAGTCACCCCAAGAAGGAACTACATTGGAGCCTCCAGGCAAGGCTGAGAGTGACAAAACATGGGGATATCTGGGAGAGCTGGTGCCAGCTGGCAGCTAGTATCTGGGGTTCTATATTAGGGGCCCCTTATTTCGTAAACCCCCCCCATGTACAGGAATGCCATTCTCTTCACAAGGATTTCCTTTCGCAACCCGATGGTTGATTTGCAGTCTCTTGCCGTGCTCATCCGTGAAAAATCCGTGTAGCTCGCATGGAAGAGGATGGAGCTTGAAACTTCATGTTGGGTTTGGGGGTTTTAGGGGTTCCCTCAACCGAGCAAAATCTGAGCTGAGCCTCTTCAGACCCCACGAGCAAAAGCCCTGAACCCGAAACACTAAACCCTAAACTCTTACACCCTAAACCCTAGATCCTACATCCTAAACCCTCCACCCTAAACCCTAAACCCTAAACCCTAAACCCTAAACCCTAAACCCTAAACCCTAAACCCTAAACCCTAAACCCTAAACCCTAAACCCTAAACCCTAGCCCTAAACTCCAAAGCCCTCCAGGTGCCGCTGTACCTGGGTGCCACGGCAGGGCTCCGCGAGCTGAAGACTGAAGACAGGGACGAGGCTCAAACTGGGTTGCAGGGTTCAAGGGTTTAGGGTTTAGGGTTTAGGGTTTAGGGGTTTAGGGTTTAGGGTTTAGGGTTTAGGGTTTAGGGTTTAGGGTTTAGGGTTTAGGGTTTAGCATTTAGGGTTTAGGGTTTAGGGTTTGGGGTTTAGGGTCTTAGGCGGCCTTGCTTTGTGAATACTGTTACGCGGGTTTTTGGGCTGGAGGATTTGGGGAGAGCTCAGGGTTTTTACGGTCGGCAGGCCGGGAGGCTTACAAGGCTCATAGGACTCACAGAGTTTAGGGTGGAGAGGGTGCAGAGGGTGAGGGGCCTCTGGGTCTCCGTGAGAGGGCTTAGGGTTTGAAGGTTTCGGGTTTACCGCGTTTCGGGTTTACCGCGTTTCCGAGCTTCAATGGCACAGGGCTTGGCTGACAGAGGATGTGACCCCCCCTGCAGTGACGGTCGCTGTTGTGGTTGTGGGGAATTGCCACTACACTAAACTTAGGGGTACTTGGAAAAATTCTAAATTTTTGGGTACTTTAATTCCTAAGAAACAACAAAAAAACATCGGGTGTCAATTCATGGGGTGGGCCGCCCTACCCGACCCCTGAATGACCCCCGCAGAACTACAGACACCCCATGACAGCCCCCGCATAGCCACGCAGAACCTATAGGGAAGACTACACTTGCCTTGTGGAAAAGTTTGCAGAACCGACCGCATGCCTCGCAGAAGCGCGGCTGCCCCGCAAAGGATATGCAGAGGGCGCATAGACAGCCCACCCCATAAATTGGCACCCCAAATTAGTTTTTTACAGTAAACATGGTCGCCGTTGATGTGGGTGTTTTTTTGTTGGTTGGGGGGGAGGGGGGGGGGACTTTGTGGTGCCTGTAGTGTGTTCCGTGGCTGACCGCTTATTGAGGCTGCCCTTCTTTGGGGTGTGGGTTTAGGGTTTAGGGGTTTAGGGGTTTGGGGGTTTTGGGGGTTTAGGGGTTTAGGGGTCGAGGGTTTAGGGTTTAGGACCTGTAGTTGCCAGTTTCTCGCAGGTGATGAAGGTCGCCCGAGAATACCTGCGGAAGCAGGACTCCGCTCCGCGTCCTCATACCAGGATGGGCAATTGGGCCCTCTAATCCCTATAATCGACCCTATATAGGGTTGACTATACGGATTAGAGGGCCTAATTGCCCATCCTGGTTTGCAAGCACATGAGAGGTCCGCTTTTGAGACTGGGGCCTTCATGGGGCGTGTCAAACCATGGAATGCCCCGTGGGGAAAGAAGGAAGACTAAGAAGTAAAGGTCATCATAGAGTGAGATCCTGTTGCCCGAATTCTAGACTCATCGCATCCGTTGCCCAACTTCCTCGAGACGACAAGTGACATCAGCATCACCATTGCTGGCAATCGGTACCTTCACTCTTATCGATTGCTGTTCGTTCCTGCTTCTGCATGAAGAGGACATCTTTGCCGTGACTCGCGATGAGCAGGCAAGCCGGTGAGCCGCAGCTACCCTTTGGGGGTTTAGGTTTCATGGGTGCAGCTCGCCACGAGCAAAGTCTAGCGTCTAGCTTTCCGCTGATTGGCTGCCAGAGTGTGATAATTGAGCACTTGGCCCGCAGGTGCGCGTCCTGTCAGGGGAGGAGGAAGGGGCCTTCGGCTGGCTGGCACTGAACCAAATGCAGGCGACTTACTCAGAAACCCCCGCGGTGTAGTTTTGTTGGGGAACCAAATTGCTGGAAAGCAAGAAATATTAAGACTTTTCAAAGTCCAGTGCCCAAAACGTGAACCACAATGTGGGACATCGGGTCCCCAATCCCTACGAAATTCGTTGTTTGCTGCGATGTTCTGTAGTAGGGTCGCATTTGGGTTAGCTTCCTTTTTTCCAAGGATGGGGGCTCCTCTCCAAAGCTTACAGTACCTACAAGGGACCCCTCGTGCAGAACAGCCCTATCGGCAACTGCTGTGATTTGAGGTTGAAAGGCATAAAGGTGCATGCGCGATATTTGGTGACGGGGATGTCGCTCGTCTTTCTGTCCCGTTCCCGCTCTCTGTCTTGCTCGGTAACTAAGCTGGTAAGCTGGGTTCGGCTCTCTGTACATACATACATGTAAATAGTAAATAAATAAATAAGTATATATATATATACATATACATATTTTTTTATTTATGTAACATATGGTCACCTAGATGTTTAGATATACACCCATGTGAAGTGGTGAGGAAGTAGGTCACCAGCAGGTTGCCCACACGGCAGGCGGAAATAGGACGAAGCCTCTTCTAGCGGCCCTGAGACACTTCCACAGTGCTGGGGTTTGAGGGTTTGAGATTTGGGATTTTGAGGGTTAAAGATTTGGGACCTAGAGTTTAGGGTTTAGGGTTTTGGGTTTAAGGAAAATTAGGCGTAATTACTTCTTTGATACTGCACGAGATCACCCTGTAAAGCTGGGCAAGGCCATCATGGCTCGGTAATGTCTGCTAGTGACACAAAATGCAGGACATTGCCTGACAGTCGAATATTGTTTGCCATCTTGCATTTCTAGCCAACCCTCGAATCTGCCCCCCAAAACCTTCTGAGCACTGTCCGAAACCTACGCCCCAACACCGGACCTCAACCTTAAATCTGACCGTTCGGACGTACGAAAGAAGGTTCCTGAACTCCTACCTAAGAACCTGTAGGAAAGCCCCTACAAGCAGGAATCAGTTTCTTCGCCAATAGTTGAACGTTAAACTCGACGCGGTGGACATGCTTGCACGCGTCGCGCTTTCAACTTTTTTTGTTGGGTTGCCTTATTTTGTAATAATAGGAAGAATGAGTTCTAACCTTTTCTTGGTCATCATTGTAGGAGAAGCCCTAAACCCTAAACCCTAAACCCCAAACCCCAAATCCCAAACCCCAAACCCTAAACCCTAAACCCCTTGAGCAAAAGCAGGCGGAGATCAGCCCGGATCCGGACACCACCTTGGGGTCTCTGGATTTTGGCGGCGCCTCTGTGCAGATCGCCTTCGCCCGCGGCCTCAATTCCTAAACCCTAAACCCTAAACCCTAAACCCTAAACCCTAAACCCTAAACCCAATCTTCACTTGCGGGGGGGGGGTTAGGGTTTGGTGGGGGTTTTAGGGTTTTTAGGGGGTTTTTCGGGGGTTTTTAGGGGGTTTTTAGGGTTTTTAGGGTTTCTAGGGTTCTTCGGGTTTTTATGGTTTTGGCTTGTTAGGGTTCTAGAGCAGCTTAGATAGCTGAGTAAAGGAGATGTGCCCTGATCCATGCAATTCTAAGCTCAGCCTGCCCTAACTCAAAGGGTCCGTGCGCCCAGATAGTATGCGCCTGGGCCCAAAAGCTACTGTATTAGGATCCCTTTGTTAGGCCCCAGTACATACCATACGGGTGCATATATGGACCCTTTGGGCAAGGTACCTCAAGAAACCTCCATCCTCGCAAACCTCTTCCCGATGCACTTCGGCGGCAGCGTGCGTGGGCCGATCCACCTCTACTCTCAGAGGCAAGGGGCAGCGAAGCATTTCGTGTTTAGGGTTTAGGGTTTTAGAGTTCAAAAAGGGTGAAGGGCTTAAAGCGACAACGATGGCTGTTTCGCAGCACTATCCACTGTTTAGTCGTAAACCCCAGTCCTTAAGAGTCCAGTATTTCAGAACGCCAGAGCCACAGATGAAACGACACTTCCGTGAGCAACGGGAGAATGGCATCGTATCAAGACAAATCCATGCTGTAGCACTTGTGCTCTAGACTATGTCGTGCCTTGCGAGCACCGTGACTGAAACTGCCAGCCAGGGTACTCTAAAGCAACATACGCAAGACAACATCCCTTACAATGCACATCTTGGCACCGATCAGCCTCTTGCAGCTTCAACGGCTTCGGCGCCGTCATCGCGTTCCAGCGTGCCACGAGCGTACTCTTGTCTTGTGCTGAGAAGTGGCAGTGGTTCTGGGGTGTGTCGGAAGTGCAGAACACGGTTGCCAAGGCATTTCGATCATGTGTCATGGTTCGAGGATCCTATCGCTGCAGCCTCTAGGTCCAGAATCTTTAGGGCCTTACGAAATGGGTTCGCAGGGTCCAGTAGCCTATATATCGCAGACATTTCGACGTGAGCGGCTAAAGCTCTGAACCACGGCTCTCGACAAATCGAGGTCTCTTGGAAAGAAGAAGCATCGACCTGGGGCGGAGCAGGTCAGAGAATTCCCGGTTAACTTCAGGAACTTCGGAAGTTCTGTTGCACCATCTTTGCTGTGTATATGCCATCGCACCCCCACACACCCAAGCCCCGGCGCATGCACTTGCGAACAGCTTTCCTCACCCAGCAAGCGCAAAGCTGAAGCCCCCTCAGCCCGGAAATCCTTAAGGTCTGGACACCCACACACAGAATTCGTGCTCAACCGTCGTTGTTTGTTTGTAGTTGCAGCTTATGGCACAAACGACATGAATTACATCAGAGCAGGACCTATTGGGCGCAAATGTGCCCAACAAATGGATAGACTCTAAAACGCATGTAAGCTCCCCCTTACCTACAGCCCAAGTCCCGAACCCGAAAGTATCTAGCACACACACACACACACAAACAGAGACAGCCGAAGCCCTACCATCTCCACATGCGTCTGCTGTCCACACCCCGTCGAAGCTAGAAATCTAGAAGATCCCAGGAGGTTCGACATCCTTGCATGCCGGACGGGCTTACCTGGAATGCCCGGATGCCCAGGCGATGAGCGTAACTTGAGATTTTGTTGATACTCGCGGCACATCCAGCACAGAAACGCACCTTCCTCCTCAGCTACGGTATGAGAGCTTCAATGTCTTTGGCATGCTTTTGCTTTGGCCATGTGACATGCACATGCCTGCCTGTCAGCATTTGGAAAGTCGGTTGTCCATTTCGCACCTTTTGCCCTTGTCCAACTTTGCGCATTCTCTCTTGAGACATGGCTTCCGTGAAGAACCTGATTGCCGCGGGTCTTCTTTCTGCGCCATGTGCAGATGCTTTCGTGGCACCGGGAGCTTCGCAGCAGGCCGTCACTACCCTTCGTGGCTCCATAGCAGTGAAGTCCGAGTCTGGCTTCGGCACGTGCTCTGCAGTTGCTGTGTCCACTGCTGCTGGCGCTGCTGTGATGAGCTTCGTGGGTACCAAGCGCCTGGCTGGCCGCAAAACGGTGGCTTGCAATTTCAGCCCTGAGGCACAAATTGGTGCCATGGAGCCGCTGGGATTCTTTGATCCAGCAGGATTCTGCAAGGACGAGGCGAGCTTCAAGGACCTGCGAGCCAAGGAGCTCAAACACGGACGACTTGCAATGATGGGAGCTCTGATCCAGCACAGTTGGGGGGATGCAATGTCTCGGTATGCTGACGCAAAGCTTGGTGCAGCTGCCGGGCATGGAGGGCGTGCCAAAGGACGTGACTGCTGCCACTTCTGGCGCTGGCCAGACGGGCTTCTTCATCACCCTTGCGATCATCGCTGCGTTGGAAGCAGCCGTGTTCGTGCAGGATCCCAGCAAGGAGCCCGGCAACTTTGGAAACCCAGTGCCGTGGTTCGACGACTACTCCGATGAAATGCGGGCTCGCGAGATCAACAATGGACGTATCGCCATGTTCTCGGCTGTTGGAATCATTGCAGCCAGCTCAGCTTGTACACAGGCAAATCAGGCATCGAGCAATTCGGACTTTAAGCGTCCAGCCGGAATCCAGCTGGATGAATCTTCCGACATGACAGTAGTCATGGTCTCAATGGATGGATTTACGTGTTTGCTAGTCTTTGCCGTAGCTAAGATGTGACTCCTGAGCTTCGGGCCTCCAGTGCCTGACTGCTCAGCGACTTGGCTAGACTTGGCTCGCTTTTCGCCACGTGCGCGGCACCTCCAGCGCAGAAACGCACCGCAAAACAGGCAGGAAGCTTCTTCTTGAACCTTTCTTTGGGGGTCTCTTGGTCCCCAAGGCCCCAAGGCTATTGTTTGTTCGCGTTGTTTTTGTTTGCAGCTTTATTATTGCGTGATCTTCACTGAGGCAACAGGCCCCAAGGCTATTGTTTGTTCTCGTTCTTTTCGTTTGCAGCTTTCTTGCGTGATCTTCGCTGAGGCTTTGCATGGGCTTCCCTGGCTGTCTCAACTTGATGCTCGACCTTCGCGGGTCTAAGGTAAGTTCCCGGGTGCTAGCAGGGGCGTAACGCAAGCGTCTCCAGAGAGAAGAGCTTAGCAACAGGTCAGTTCGCAGTGGCACTTAAAGAAGTGTGTAGTGCCTTCTCGTTCCTGTGCCTCTCAGCGAACATGCTTGCGAGGTCGACTACGCCGAGTTCGGCGTGACTCGGCCTCACACATTCGAGATTGCGCAACGCAGAGGCTTGAGAAGGCTTCTGGGGATGCGCTGGTAGTGCTGCCTGATCCCCGCTACCACATCGCAGGAATTTGCCCCACACTGTTAGATTACTTGCGTACTAGACCCTCAAGTTCTCTAGCCCTATAGGCCCCTGTAGGTTAAACAACTTTATTTTCAGCCCTCAAGTTCTAAGCCCTATCAGCCCCTCTAAGCTCCAACCTTTCATACTTTTCAGGCACCTCCATGAGTCGAACATGAGTCACTTGGCAACATGCAGCAGGACCTAGCTGAAGGCTCCAGCGTGGTGCCTTCTTGGGTTCGTCATGGCCGGGTCCTAGTATACTGCCCCAAAAAGGTACTACATAGGAGCCTTTAGCTAACTTCCATGCCACCCCCCCCCCCCCACCCCCCCCAAAAAATAAAAAACAAAAAAGCCTTTTCCAACGCCGATGTTCATAGGCTGGGAGGCCCAGTGGTGCCCTTGTTACCCTGTTTTTTGGGTGCCGAAGGCAACAAAAAACCAAAAAAGCACCTTTCTTGCACAAGTGTCTGGTAGGACATGTTTAGGTACCAGGGTCCTTGTGTTCTACCTTTCTCTCTCTCTCTCTTCTTCTCCCTTTCTTGCCTTTAACCCTAAACCCTAAACCCTAAACCCTAAACCCTAAACCCTTTAAAAAGTTTACAGGCTCCCTACTGCGCAGCAGAAGGTGAGCACCAACAGCACCCACCCGGAGCGCGAAGCCGGGCCGCTGAAGCCGGGCTCTGGGGGGAGGGGGGGTTGAGGTTTGGCATGTGGGTAGTTAGGGTTTAGGGTTTAGGGTTTAGGGTTTAGGGTTTAGGGTTTTTATCCCGGACTTCCTAACATGTGTGCATGCTGGACCCATCTCACGGCGAGAGCGGCCCTTTTTTGTTTGAGGGGGGGTGGAGGTGGGGCTGTACGGGTCTCCATCGGGCTTCGGGGCTGTCCGGGCCTTTATATATGGGCCAGCAGTTCACTCGACCCCCTTGGTCACGGTGGGTTTAGAGTTTGGGGTTCAAGGTTTGGGGTAATGGTAGGTTTTCCCCCTCTCCCCCCTCTGGTTCGTGCTGGGTTTACGGTTCAGGGTTCAGGGTTAAAGCGGTGAAGGTTTCGGGTTGACCTTTCTCCAACCTGTGGTTCATTGGTGGGTTTAGGTCTTAGGGCTTAGGGTTCAGGGTTTGGGGTTTAGGTTGAGGGTTTCTCTTTCCTCCCCCTGTGGTCCACGGCAGGGTTTGGGGGGGGATACCATGGTGGGGGGGGGGGGGGGCGGGGGTCGATTGCGCGGAACGCGGGCGCATATAAGGGTTTTCGGGTTACCCTAAACCCTAAACCCTAAACCCTAAACCCTGAACCCTGAACCCTGAACCCTGAACCCTAAACCCTAGCCTTGTTGGAGGCTCCAGACTCCCGGTCAGGTTGATTGGCACCGGCGACTCGTCAGGTTGCCTCAATCTGATCCGCCCGCTTTTCAACAAGGACTGCGGGAGCCCTAAGTAAAGTACGTCGAGAAATAGACAGGGCAAGGAATAGGAGAATGGTATGTATACATGTATATGTATATATGTATGTATGTATATATATATATGAAGAAACGGACAGTCTTTAGTTATATATATATATATATAGTTATTTGTTTATTTATTTGTTTATTTATTTACGTATACTAGCATATACTTTCATATACTAACATATATTAACATATATTAAAATGTATTAGCAGATATTAAATCTCATAATATATACATATATTTATATATTTATTTATTTATCCTAGAATAACATACGTTAACATATACTGACATAGTTTAACGTATATTAGCCCATACTAACATATATGAACGAAGATATAAGCCCTTTTTGGCCCCTGGGCTTGACCGGCGCTTGTCAGGCAAGTTCAGAGCTCTGCAAGGGCTTTCCCTTGCAGAGCCCCATGGGGATCTACATTCTCCTTGCGCATACCCGGCCGGAAGCAAGTTTTCAACTCTCCGGCATGGGCGGTCATACCCTATGACTGCTTAACAAGGGGCCCTTTGTTGATTACAGGGATTATAGGCCCCAACTGCCCATCCTGGATAGGGGAGTGCAGCATGTGATAGGAACACCTCGGGTGCATGATGCAGCCCCGCGCTCGCGCATTGCTGATGGCGAATGGTACCTGGCACCGCGTGTTACGCTGACCCGCGACATGCGCGTTGATGTAGACATGGCCTTGTCGGTTTGGAGTCACGGCTTGTCTTCTGGGCCGCAAAGTTGGCATCGTGGTAGGGTAGCTTTGCATTCTGATACGCGCGAGGAATCCCTTGGAATGGCTTCATTCGATGGTTCAGCCCAAGCATCCCAGCTTGGATCCATTATAGGGAGCTCTATACTCTCTGGTAAGAGTTGTCGCGTTACTTGGCCGAAGCCCCATAATTTTTTGCGCCGTCTAGGCTTCTTTCGGTTAGGCAGACCCAAAGCCACGACACGCTTCGTTGAATGGGCCCTGCCTTTCCCAGCAGGAGGCACCCTGCCTACTGCCGCCATGCTCCATGATGGGCGTCTACCAGCCAGTTCTGAACGGGAGCGATTGCCCATTGCCCACCAGCACGTGCTTTTTTGTTTTACCCTATAACCACTTTTTTGGTTTTACCCTATAACCCCTTGAGAAGGCACTTTATCGGGTTGATGATAGGGCTTATGGGGCCTTAGAGCCCACCCTGACAAGTCAGGTTTCGGGTTGCGTGTGCTAGCGCCTTGACGTTGAAGTGGGAAGGGCTTGGCATGCTTTTGAGGGTTCTTACTCTTTTGTTTTTGTTGCTTCGGTGTTCAGGAGGGGCTCCTGGAATCCGACATGAGCTATTTAGGGTTTAGGTAGGCATTTATAGGTTTGGGGCTGTCTTGTTGGCCCCTTGTTGGCCTTTCCTCTACGAGATGAGTGTCGAGGTGCTCATAGCAGACGCTTTTTGGACTTCTTGCACCAGGGGCTGTTTTTCAGCTGACTTTTGGCTGCCGGGTACCCTAAAACCCAGACCCTGCCTTTCAACGGGAGGGGGAACCTCGATTTTCGGAAAAAAAAAACTCCCGCGGAGGACCAGATTTGTTCTCTTGGACAAGTTCGGGCGCTTTGAGCGGTGGGAGGCGCCAAGAGAACACCTTAACCCCAAACCCTACACCCAAAAGCCCAAGCTTTAAACCCTCCAAGCCCTAAGCCCCCCAGACCTTTCATTTTCCATTGCTTTGAGAGCATCAAGTTTTGGGAACCTGTTTCAGAACGCTCCAAGGCCAGCTAGTTATACAGTTATACGAGAGATCGTCAATGGGATCCATATTCACAGAACCGTCCTATGCGCTAAAGAATTGCTGCCCCAAAAGTCCGGAGTCTTGCCGCACTTTCGTGTCTGGCGCTGCTTCCTCATTCATCTCCTCAAGGCCGCACCCCGAGGCTTCTCTAAACCCCAAGATTCCCCCAAACCCCCCCGAAGTTAACCATATTCCGAACTCCCTAACCCCTACACCCCCAAAGACTCCCTAAGCCCTCCAAAGCCGTGTTTTGTTAAGAATGTTAAATTAGGCTCTACATATATATGTATACATCATATCATCTTCGTCGATTTTTGTCATGAGAATATGATCGTCTTCTGGAAGCTGAGCCTAAGCTGCCTAGCAAGAGACCCAGAACATGCCAGGTCCTTCCGCTGATCCGGCAGGCCACGGACGAACCACCGAATTCAAAATACTGAGAGGATTGGGTTTAGGGTTTAGGGTTTGGGGTTTGGGGTTTAGGGTTTAGGGTTTAGGGTTTAGGGTTTAGGGGGCGTGGTCCCGAAAATTCGGGTACGGTTTGGGGCTTCCTATGACAAGATGTAGTCACCATTCTGGATCATCGTATGTTTGTTCTGGTTCGGGAAATGCTTGTGCAGTTTCTCATCATGCCACTAGCCTTGGAGAGGAAACGAGTCGTGCTTAAAGTAGGATGCTTTCACAGCCTTAACTTTAGAGCCTCTGAGCTTTTGAGCTACTTGGGATGTGGTTTTTCAGGGCCCCCAATAACCCGCAAAAACCTAAGCCCTGTAAGCCAGCCTCCAGAATGATAAAGAGTTCCCACATCGCTTTCACAGCATGTGCCGGCCAAGAACCGCCTACAAAGCCTATACATCACTGTTATTCCCTTTTTTGGCCTTGGGATCCCTTGAGAACCTCAAACAACAAACGCATAACAACGCGCTCCTTGGATTCTTAGATATGAGCTATTCTCTGAACTATGATATTCTCAAGGCCTAGTGTACTATGAACCTTCTGCTCCCCCCCCCCCCCCCCCCCACAAAAAAAAAAAAAAGTGTAGCCCTAAACTCTCAGCCCGAATCCCCCCCCCCCCCCAAAAAAAAAAAAAACAGTCAGAATTTACAATGCCCCCGCATCCGGGCTGATGTGGATTCAAGGCTCCAAGAGCTGGGGCTTCCGATGTCGTTCACATTCTTTCACGCAGGGTTTTGCTTAAGAAGGTCGACCCCTAAACCCAAAACCCCAACCCTAAACTATAAGCTTTAGCTTTAGACTCTCTAAGCTCTGCGCTCTGCGGTCAGGGGCTACCGCTCCTGAAAGCGCTAGAGATCCAGTTGCCCCGTCTCTGCTCCATGCCGCTCGAGAAACAGGTGCCGTGTCATGAAAGTTTAGGCTTTGTTCGGTGTTCCTATACGGGGGTTTCTCCAATCTATGGCCCTTTGGGGGTTGGTATCGTACTATATGGAGCCCTTTCATCAGCAGGGGACTGTTTTCGAGAACTGACCACACGCTGCTCCACGACAAAAGAAGATCTGTCCTTCCTTCCTGACAGGTAGAGTTGGGCCCCGGTTTCTGTGCTACAGAGGTACATTGACCCTTGGGAAAGCCCCCCCCCCCACCACCACTTCAGAGCCTCTAAAAGCTTGCCCGCAGAATGCTTCTTCGGGGTCTACGTTTTCGTGGCAGATGATGGGTTCAGTATTGGGGCCGGGGGGGCGCGGGGGGGGGGGGCGGGGGGAGGTTAGAATAGAGTTGCGTATGTGGATGCTGTCCGCAGCGCTCAAGAGAGAAAGAGAGCTGATGCCCACGCTGGCCAGGCTAAGCCAGACTTGCAGACGCCGAAGCCCTGAACCCAATGAGCCGAAGCTGTTCAACTCCCCTAATGACTTTAGTAACAAACAGTATCTCATCAGAAGTCATGAGCAATGCTGAGAACCTATAAGACGTAATAAGAACAGCTATCCACTAAGTCAACGGTATCTAACGTTAGCTAGCAGGAACTACTAAACGAATAGCAGCTCTGAGCAACAAGCAGCCAACCGATTGCAAGCTTTGCCCTTCCCTGGATATTTCGGCTGTAGGTCGAGCTCTTCGATGACGAGACCATGAGGCAGTGTTCAGGGTTTGGGGCTTTGGGTTGGGATGTTCCCCCTTGTACTAATGTTACTAACAGTCCTTCATCGGGATGATAATAGGGGCACTATAATCCCTTGTAAGGACTGTTGGTATAAGGGGGACCATCCCAAGCTTTGGGGTTTAAAGCTGGGATGAGCAACAACCAGGGCCCTAAACCCTAAACCCTAAACCCTAAACCCTAAACCCTGAAAAGTGACCGGTTTAGGTTTAGACTCGGTCGCAGTGAGAGTTCTAATCCTATATGCGCATTGACGAGGGCTCGTGCCTCGTTGACCTAAGACAAAGCCAGCCGGCCTTTTAATTCTGGACTCGCACAGGGCACGTGCACATATTAGGGTTAAGGGTTTAGGGTTTAGGGTTTGGGGTTTGGGGTTTGGGGTTTAGGTTTAGGGTTTAAAGTTTAGGGTTTAGGGTTTAAAGTTTAGGGTTTAGGGTTGAGGGTTTAGGGTTTAGGGTTGTGCTTGCAAGAACATATGGATCAGCTGACTGTGCCTGCATTCTTTGTTGTCCGGCCCTTTCGGATATGCCCCGATTCTCCGCTCTCCCGCGCTGTGAAGTCTGCATTTAATTAGTCTAGGTAGGCCCTTGGGACATTTTCCTTTATTGTGTTTAATTACGAGGATCATCTTACTTCGCCTTTAGTTGAACGTTAAGCATTTGGGTATTTAATTATTTAGCAGGAATATTCAAGTTTAACCTTTTTCCCCCCTTGGTTATTGGAGGAATGTTCTTCAGGGGGTTTTAAGGGACATCCTAGTCATGTACATCGAGGCCCTGGGCCGGCTAGAGATAGAGTTCCGGGTCGTGGATTCGCGGCAACTTCTCCAGGATTCCTCGAATGCCCTAAAGCCTGAAGCCTCTAAAACCGAAACATATGGGACAGAACTGCCCGTACATCCGCGATCCCTCCACAGAAGAACCCTGAACCCTAAACCGTAAACCCTAAACCCTAAACCCTATACGGGGGCAACCGAAGGGGAAAAGGGAAAGAAACCAACCCTTAACAGTTGCCTATATGGATTTCCCAGATCGAACCAGTAAGAGAAGAATCCCACCCCAGAGGGAAAGGCTAAGGGAGAAGGGTCGGGACTACTACCTCCCACAAGACCCAACACCCAACACACGGACACAACCTTTTCAACGAAAAGCGGACGGCTCTGGGCCATCTTGAGCCAAATATGATTTCCGGGTTCATTGACCCATCCAACCCCCAACACTAACTCTTTTCTACAATACCAGTTGCAGCTCCGCACTCCCCCTGTCCTAGGATTTCCTAGGACACATTGGAGGTGCAGATCTTTTGGCCAAAAACTGCCATTAAGGCAGCAGCCAGCTGCTTGAAATGCACAATATGGTTTTACGTCATCCAGGACGAAACTATAGCACATTGGCTAAACCACAGAGAATCTCTTTTCACCATGATCCTCTCATCACTGAAGACTCCTTGGCCTTCTTCACCACAAACCGTGGTCTTCGCTACGCGAAAAGCTACTGACTTCTACTATCAGGGATTTCCATACCCTTAATAGTAACCACCACATTGTCAGCACATTGGCTGTTCCAGCGCACCTGTCTCCAGAAAGAGAAAAACCATCCCTTCATCCATACCATCCAATCACTTCTTTTTCCGATTGTTGGCAATTTTGAGGTGAAGTTGCAGCAGAATATACTCCAGGTCCGAAACTGTAAGCACAGGATCCTGTACGCACCTTTGAATTGAGGATACCAATCCTTCTCTCTTTGCGTCCTCAATCGCTTGGCAAGATTGACCCAGCTCTGCATTCACAGTGGTAGACACTGGTGCATCCGCATCAGAGGGACGATCCTTTTCCTCAGGATCTTGCACCATTACCACCTCTTCCTTTTTGGGACTCTGACTTTTCTCCTTCTTCTTTGTCTTTCCACCGACATTTGACTTTGTGCGCGTTTTCGAGGCTTTTTCCACTGCAGAAACCACCACATTGGATGGAGGCGATTTCATTTCTGTCCGATGGCAAGCCAGATTTGGCTCGAGCAGAGGCGGACCCATTGTTCAAACTCCTGAAGTTCAATGGAGATACTGACCAAATGGATCAAGAATGGGTTTCGTGGACCACTGGTATGTTGACCGTGCTGGAACTTCTCGAAGTAGTGAAGTCGTATGAGGTTTCGCTCGCGGAGGTGGAAGAATGGGTCAATGACCTGAGGATATGGTATGAGCGAGCCAATTTGGGAGAAGAAAAGGATTCCAAAAGAGGCAAAAAGAGGTCCCTAGAAAGGGAGTCCAGCAAGGATATTCCTGCCGAAAAAGAAGTGGTTGAGACTTCGGAGACGGAGGTTGCCGTTGAAGAAGAGAAGAAAAAGGTAAAAAAGAAGAGGAAAGCTGCAGCTATCGAAGATCCTTACACTCTCATGGTTCCAAAGCCGAAGAAGATGCCGACGATCATTGAGAAGGGTGGATCATCTTAACAGTTCCGTCATCTTGGTATCTTCGTCATAAACCATAAAATCCTCCTCACCATCATCGAACTGTTCAGGAGAGATCTCCTTTTCACCACCATTTGCACCAGAACTTCTCCTTGGACCATCCCTTGGGGGCGTCCTTGGAGACCTTGGCCTCTGTTCCTCCAGCGGAACACCATGCTCGAAGACACACCTGTCACCAAAACGACACTTCCCAGACCGAGCAAACTGGATGCACCTCACACCAGTTGCATCATGCGAGAACTCGCAATCCTTTCCAGCGAAACAGTCTCTCCCTGCCACATAGTATTTGCACCAATACGAATGTAGCACCACATCATCTTCTGAATGGATGAATTTGCAGTCTTCGCCAAATTTGCAGCGATCTTTCCCCTTGCCGAACCAATAGCAGAAGCCCTTCTTCCTCTTCTCCAAGCGCTCTGCCTCGTACCGGTCCATAGGGCGATTGTGCTCTACATGAACATTGCCATGTACCTGGGGACTGCTCCCTTCACCCGACGTGCTATCAGTATTCGGTGCTTGGAGTACAGCTGGAAAACCTGGCCTTGGTCCTACCACCTTCATGATTGGTTTTCCGCCAACTCCTGAGCCATGCTGAGATGATCCAAAAACATTGAACATCTTCGTGAAGGCCTTTCTAGTGCCAATCTTCTGCACCCTTTTGATTGGACGTTTCATTGCTCCAACCTTGCATCCAGATGCGCTCCAACGACACAACCTCCTATACCCAGCTCTATATCCCTTCTTCCAAAGAGCCATAAGAATTTTAGAGGCAGTAACATTCTCCACCTCTACCTTTTCCAATGGTCCCTCACTTCCCGGAACAAACCCATCCATATCTGAAGACCTTTCCATGTTTTTTGACACCACTTCGTCGAGGTAGTCTTCCGAGATCCAGGGTAAGTTCCTCTTAGAGGAAGGATTGTCATCATTGCTTGGTCCTTCACCAGGATACCCTTTCGTGCTGTCAAAGATCTTACCAGTAGTGCGGTCCTGCATAGAGAAATTAGAAGCCACGCGGGAGTACACTGACCACAAGAAAATCCTTGTGTCCGCCAGTCTTGATGACCCACTGGATGTCTCCTCTTCCGGAGAGACTTCTGGCGCTTTGCCATCCCCTCCAGTGTCACCACTTGTCTCACCTCCAGCATCTTCAATGGGAATAAGGGATTCATTGTTCCCTTGATCAAGTACCGCATCCTCTGGTCCAAGAACTTCCAGCACCGCTGTCGAAGGATCCACCTCTTCATCTGCATCGTCGTCCATCCTTTTCCAGAGAGCCTCCAATTGGTCCGCACAAGTCGCCGCTTGAAGGAACTCCATCAACCGGGCCCTCCCGCGCTGCCAGAGAAATTCCGAAACCATCACCGACCCCTGGGCTCCAAGATTCAGGAACGGGTGAACCAATTTGGCTACCCTCGCCATAAGTTCAATGTGAACTTCCATGCCTGGACTGCGACTCCAATCATAGGCAATTGCCTCCATAGCAGTTCCAAACTTGTCAGTATTTTTGAATTCCCCTTCCAGACCAGGAGACAACAAGGCACCCATCACCGAAAGAGGGTAATTTCCCACCGCCGGCAAGCACGGGTTGTCATGGAACGAATGATGCAGGTCACAATAATGTCCTTGATCTCTCCTTTGAAAAAGGAGTGCTCCAGTCCCTAGCTGGGCATTCATTTCATCCACTTGAACCATTTCAGCACATATCCTCTGTGCCATGTACGCCATTGCTGGCCAGACGGAACGATCGGTCAGACCGCGACGCATAACCCAATCAGTTGTTGGCGACTGAATCAGCGTCCTTGGATCATACACCATAACTACCATCGCACCGTCACCCATTGACTGATCAGCATCGTCCTCCAGTGCCAGGTTCTCATCCTGTTCGCTTGCACCCTCGGATGACATGCTAATAACCAAATTTCGATCCATCTTATTGGACCCCTTTTGGCAGTCTCTTTGCCCCACAGGCAACTTGCCAACAGCAACCTTCCAATAAATCCGAGTCAGAAGGCCTTTAACCAGCAATTGCTGAAGGTCATTCTTCACCGGACAAACATTCAATATCTTCGCACCATCACCACGGAGTTCATTGCTCCTACCTTCTCCTTCTTTTTGGTCAGTCTCCTCGCCAGAAATTTGTACTGCTCCTTCCGGCACCGTCTCCTGTCCAGCCACTTCTTGCCCAGGAAGAACTTGAGCGCTTTCAGAGACATTCACCTGTCCAGCAACACCTTGCCCAGGTAAAACCTCATCCGTGGAGCCCACCGCCAGCGAACCAACCATAACTGAGCCATCCCTTGCTCTTTTTTGAGACGTTCAGCTCGACGAGAAGGTTGTGGTAGCGAAAAAACTTGTGAAGTCACTTCTTGGCGGGTCTCCCCCCGCGACGCTTTGTCGCGCCCTTCGCCAAGGTGAACCGATTTTTTCGGCCCGTCATTGGAGGCTGAAGAACCACTCTGCGGAACGTTGCCACGACTCGCAGTTCTCTGTGAATCCCTTTCTTGCAAGAAAATTTCCTTCAGGCGTTGCGCGGCATTGGTCTCCTCCTCGCTTGAATCGCTTGAGGAAGCGGCATACGAGACCAAGGCCTCCGCCTGTTCATCATCATCCACCACATCTGCCCACGCTCTGCTGAACCGATACGACAACCCACCACGAGGCTTCAGTTCCAGTGGCTTCGGCTTTTCCACCACTTCCGCCGGCTGCACCCGTCGTTGTGATCGAGAGCGTGGCACCTGTCGCACCTGTTTTTTGTCCAGCAAGGGCCTTCCCCTTTTCACAGGGTTTGATCTTGACCGATATTTTTTTGTTGGCGGATTCACCGGCGGCATTCCAACTCCCACCAACTGCAGCTTCTGTACGCACAGCGGAGACCTCTGCGTAAGCGTCCAAGCATCACGGTACCTGACCGTATCAAAAAGCTCCCGATAGGAGCCTCTCGGCATGGTTTTTGCACCGGAGTCTTCAGCTTCACGCACCTGAGTGAGGGTTCGCACCGCTGCTCTTCCAGTTCCTTTGCTCCCAGAAGATTGTTGTACCCGTACAGATGCATCGGAAGGAACTGCTTTTTCCGGTCCTCCTGGACGATATCGGACACCACCAACCAATTGCAGAATTTTGCACGCAGTCACTTTGTTGATCCCTTTGTCAACCAAATCTTCCACAAAGATGAACTCCTGCAAGTTCGACACATTGGTCACACCAAGCGTAATCATCACCTCACTTACATGAGGGGTATACACCCACAGGTGTTCGTTGCGAGCCATCCAATTTTCAATTGGCTCCTCCGGATTTTGAAGCCGAATACCAGTGGATTCAGCCACCGAATTCTTTTGTTCATCAGCTTCTGCTTCATCCAGAATACCTTTTTCACCTTCTTTTTGTGACACATTGGTCATTTGCAGCGCTTTTGGTGCCGAGGATGAGGAAGATTCAGCTCCCCCACTCGCAGGTGGCTGAAAAGTGCTTCTATCCGAAATTTCCCATCCTCTCTCTTTTTCAAACCGGACCTGATTGGCCACCTGTACCAAGTGTTTCAGGAGCGTCAGCCGCTCATCTGACATCTCGTCGTGGGAGTACTTGCAGAAATTTGACCCTTTCCGGCAACGTCCTCTGAGGTAATAATCGAAACAGCAATGGTGGAACCCTGCGTCCCTTAGTGCCTTCCTGGAAGCATTGTCCCAAGATTTGCCGGGCTCCCAAGTCCCTTCCAATGCTATGTCATCGTTGTGACGATACCTGCATGTAGTCCCATATTTACAACCACCTTGATTGTAATACAGACACAGACGACCTTTTGGCTCACCCGACGTAGGTTCACCCTTTGATGCACCTTTGCCAAAATTGTACTTGGCCCGGAAGGCTAAATCCTCCCGCTCCTGCTGTGCCTCATCCACTGTACCTTCCTCTGTGGGAGGGTCACCGATGTTCCCATCCTCATCATCAGCTTCTTGGCTGTTCTTTGGATCAGTTGACCCCCCTTCTGGCCAACCTTCACCATAACGACGATGCTCATAGGGACACCCATCGCCATTGCGACACCTTCCCTTATTGAAGAACTTGCACAGTTTGCTGTATCCAGGTGACACAGTCTGTGGAGTCATGTGAGCCTTTTTGTACTGGTCAGGGTCCATGTAAGCTTCCATTGGCTTGTTCTCCCTTTTGCTCATGGATTGCACTGCACCATCAAGCTCCTGCAAAAATAGCTTGGTGTCCAACCAAAGCGCGTTCCAAAACTCATCTTCCCCTTGATTCAGCACCGTTGCCACCGCTTCACCCACAACTGGTCGAGTAAATCTCCTTTTTCTGCATGCCAGTTCGAAAAGCGCGTCCTCTCGTTCTTCTGAGGATAACTCCTGTACCACAAGCCCTTCCTCGGATTGCTCTTCTTCCTGTTTCCAGTCCCATTGACCGTTGGAATCTTGGTACCATTGACCAGCATACCATGAATCCGTCCACCACGTACTCCAGCCGCTGGGTTTCCATTTCCGCAGCGTCGAAGAAGAGTCCTCCACGTCCTCTTCCAAAACCAGAAAGGTGTCCAAGATTATGGTACCATCATCTTCCACTCGTTTCACTGTTCCATTGACAGTATCACCAAATCTGAACTGACATGTATTGTTCCCTTCTGCAGGAATCAATACATTCAACTCACCAAGGTCCAAAAAAGCTCCATACCCATTGATGCAGCGCACTAGACCCATGATCTCATCTCCCTCTTGATAGCAATGGTTCCCAGGTGATTCCAAGGCTCCCGCTCGGGGCACTTTCTTCGCATGCTCTTCAGAAACCACCTCTGTATCATCGGCTCCTGGCGCATCCTTTGTCTTCACCTTTGGGTCACACTGCTCGTCCTGCTCCACGAGTCCCACAGGCTCATTTTTTTTGTGCTCCTGGATTTCAGGACCTCCCTTTTTCTCCGCCAAAGGCTTTGCCTCATCTGCTTCAGTTCGCTCGGTGTCGACTTCCGGCGAACTTCCAGACGGCAACACTTCTCCCTTCATGGGAGTGGACCCATCATTGGAGTCCTTTGTCACACCTTCTGCAGCAGGCAAATTTTCTTCCACTGCAGGGCGATTGAGTTGATCATCCACGGCAGGCACACTTTCTTCCACCGCAGGCTCCTTTGGTTCCATGGTTTCCAAAGGAGAATTGCCACCATCGTTGACCACAGCTGCCTCATCGGCTCCGGTGTAGCCCTTGCTATTCCGTTCCTCGCGGCTAACTTCAGGTTGCACCAGTGCGTCCACCTGTGAACCTCCATCATCAGCTGCTGCGGAGACCTGCGCCCCATTGTTGCAGTCGCCCGTGGAACGTAACACCATATGCACCTCAACCCGTGCCTCCTTCGCACTCCAGGTACTATCTGGCGCATCGACCCGCGCATCATTGGCGCTCCAGGCCTCATCTTTCAGATCTTCCGTGTCTCCAGCTATTCCAGAAGCTTCTTTTTCCCCTTGAATGGCAGGAATCTTGGCACCAAACGAAGAGACCTCCTCAGTCGCAACACACAACTTTTTCCCTCCGTCTTCCGAATCTCCAGGACCACCTTCCTGAACGACAGGTACCACATCCACCACTCGCTCTTCTGCAGCCGACACAGTTCCGATCTCCACATTGGGAATTTTTTCTTCTGGACCTACCGATTCCACCGCTGCCACACCCTCAGAAAGCGCTTCCGTTTCTTCCCGATCCAGGTGTTGAGCTCCAGCGATGTCGGCTCGGTTTCCAGGAATCCCCTCCTCATCAGGAGAACCCGAGGTCGGGGCGTCACCATCAGCCCTAGGACCGCTATCCCTGATAGTAGAGGAAAAATCTTTTTCACCTAAACTATTTACACTACCCTGGAATGCCCTCGTAGACTCAGTCTTCGGAGTAGAGGATGAAGAACCCAGTGCCGCCTCCATTTCCAGCTCATTGCCCGAAGGAGACCCAACCACCTCGTCACTCTTCATCTTTTCACCTACAACCGGCAATGTCCACTTGCTTTCCTGCGTATCCAGGCAGTAGTAATATTGTCTCCCATCTTCATGGAGGTGCCATTCCCACGTTGTCCCATCGCACGCTTGGATCAGATGCTCATCCTTCCGAAAACCATCCCTTCCAGAGACCTGACGCATCTCATCCTCTTCTTCTGACAACTGTCGCAACCTTTCAGCCTCCATCTGTAAGATCACCTCCTCCCCCATGGCGTATTCAGCAGCAGGTGCAGCTTCAAAGCTGTCCGCACCCTTCTGTTCGTGACCGCTTCCACCACCTTGGGAACTCGAAGATGGATCCCTTTTGATCTTGTTCAGAGGCCTCCTGGCCGCTTGCGGCACTTCTCCAATCAGATCGGTCTGAGACCCTTGGTCTACCATTCGACCCGAAGTCGAAGTCGACGGCTGATACCCGTGTTTTTGCAACACTCGTAAAACAGTCACCTCCATTTCACGATCTATACCACCAGTCGCGTCCCAGTTCCTTTTTTCACCAGGCTTTGGCGATACAGAGACAGCACGTCCTTCAGCTTCAGCATTGCTAACCATATCCACATTGGGATTCATACCCACATTGGGGCTTTCCGCAACCAAGGCTTCTTCCAGATGTTCTTCAGCGCCGGGAATCACCTCTTCCAGCACCGATCTTTCACCCAGAGACTCAGCTGCACCATTTCCAGCTCCACCATTTCCAGCTCCACCATTCTGTCCACCATCCGAGGCAGGTTGGAGCCATCGCTTAGGAGAAGGCATTGCTTCTTGATCCCAAAGATCTTAAGACAACACTCAACCGCAGGGAACCTAATTTGGGCTCATAACCTACGGGGGCAACCGAAGGGGAAAAGGGAAAGAAACCAACCCTTAACAGTTGCCTATATGGATTTCCCAGATCGAACCAGTAAGAGAAGAATCCCACCCCAGAGGGAAAGGCTAAGGGAGAAGGGTCGGGACTACTACCTCCCACAAGACCCAACACCCAACACACGGACACAACCTTTTCAACGAAAAGCGGACGGCTCTGGGCCATCTTGAGCCAAATATGATTTCCGGGTTCATTGACCCATCCAACCCCCAACACTAACTCTTTTCTACAATACCAGTTGCAGCTCCGCACCCTAAACCCTAAACCCTAAACCCTAAACCCTAAACCCTAAACCCTAAACCCTAAACTCTAAACCCTAAGCCTAAACCCTAAACCCTAAACCCCAGACAGCTCAACGAAGGCACGGGCCGACTTGCTGGACCGCCTCATGGCTCCTGGCCACGTTGCGAGCCGGATCCTCAACGTTGAGCGTGTTGTCTCAGGCCCCGGGCTTGAGGGTTTAGGGTTTAGGGTTTAGGGCTTAGGGCTTAGGGTTTCGGGTTTAGGGTTTCGGGTTTCGGGTTTAGGGTTTAGGGTTTAATTAGGGGAGAAGCCTGAGAGAGTATGTCTTGGTTCAGATTAAGCAGCAATTGGGTTGCGGTGTGCTGTTGTGGCTTTCGGTGAGTATACAACGGGTTCCGTACAAATGTTGGTGTGTGTCTGTGTGCGTATACATGGGGCTTCCTCTTGGGTATTTTGGTAATAATCAACCCGAAACCCTCTAAACCCACTAAACCCTCTAAACCCTCTAAACCCTATAAACCCTATAAACCCTATAAACCCTATAAACCCTATAAACCCTATAAACCCTATAAACCCTAAAACCCTAAAAACCCTGTAAACCCTATAAACCCCTATAAACCCTAAACCCTATTTTCAATATTATAAGATATGCTCTATTCCCGAGTGAAGCGGGGGGCTCTGCTGGGTTGATCCCACAGCGGCGCCAGCGCTTTCCTACTCAAGCGCCGCGTGGGGGTTTGGGGTTTAGGTCTATACTCTTTCGTACTAAGAAGTCACCCTAAACCCTAAATCCTAAACCCTAAACCCTAAACCCTAGTGGAGAGTCAGAAACGGCTGTGGTGAACCCGAGGATGGTCTGGGCTTCTCCGCGCACGGCTATCCGCGCGTGGACGTGGTGTGTCATCCTTACCCTCTAGTATGGGCCATTATATCCTAAAAAGGCCCTTATAGGGTTGCTTATGGGGATTATAGGGATTATAGGGCCTAACTATCATACCATTATAGGGCCTAACTACTTTACCCTAAAAAGGCCCTTATAGGGTTAATTATAGGGATTATAGGGCCCAATAGCCCATCCTGGCTTTTTTCGTGGTGTAGGGTTCGATTGGTTTAGCAGAATAGCGTGCAACGATTCAGGGGGATGGGTTCAAGCTTTGGGCTTCTCTTGGTGGTTCATATCTCATTCTACACAAGTGATCGGAAGGTCGACAGTCCGGCTCCATTTTAAGGTTCATTTCAAGCTAAACCTAGAGGTTTAGGGTTTTGTCGTCGCTCGGAGTGGTGCTCGCCTGACGTATGAGTCCCTCAAATCGTTCCATGCCGCAAGGTGCCCCCGTGCATATCCCTTTTCCCACATGAGTCAGGAGTCCATCAGGAGCCCTGAAACCGTGAAAACCTTAGCCCCAAGCCTCCTAGAACGCTCTGGCCACATACCCCCAAACCCTCATCAAGGGTTAGAGCAAACCAGAAACTAAACCCAAGCAATGCAGCCTAGAGAGAGCTCTGTACCTTGGGAAAAGGAAGTGATCGCACAGTTGAGGTATTTCCTATTTCCTATTTCCTATTTCCGATTTCCTGTTTCCTATTTCCTATTTCCGTATGTATGTATGTATGTAGGTAGGTATGTAGGTATGTATGTATGTATGTACGTACGTATACAACCTATATTAGTATGTTTATATTTATTTATATTATGTTTTATGATATTATATAATGTACTAAGAATGAATGAATATATATATATATCAATGTATGTGTATATATGTATATATATATATATATCAATGTATGTATATGTATATATATATATATATATATATATCCATATCCCCCCCCCCCCCCCCCCCCCCTTCCCAGGGAACCCTCCCCACCCCCCATGGTGTCCCTCCCCCCCCTCCGCCCCCCTCCCCAAACCTCCCCCCTTAACCCAACCCAACCTCACACCCTTAACCTAAACCGTAACCTTCAACCCCAGACGCCAACCCCAAATTCACAGCACAGGATGGGGGGCTACACCTTAAACCCTAAGTTTTGTAAGCCCTAAACGTTATAAACCCTAAACTCTAGACCCTAAACCCTAACCCCCAAACCACACCCGCACCACAGGGGGAGGCGCAGGGGTAGCACGGGTGGCCGGTCTCTTAAACCTAAATCCTAACCCCAAACCCCCAATCACACCACGGGCCTAAACCTTAGACCCCAAACCCCGAACCCTGAACCCTAAACACGAAAACCCATAACCCCCCAACCATACCCACACCACAAGGGGGGGGGGGGGGCGCGAGGGTAGGCCCTCACCTTAAACCCTAAACCCGGAACCCCAACCCCCCAAACTCTACTTAGGCCCTTAAACCCCAAACCCTAAACCCTAAACCCTAAACCCTAAACCCTAAACCCTAAACTCACCACACCCACACCACAGGCCTCGCTGCTGTGATCACACGCTTGGGCATGCGACCTACGAGGCTCGGCCCTTTGTGGAGGGGTCCGTGCTTTTTTTGCCACAATGGGTTTAGGGTTTAGGGTTTGGGGTTTAGGGTTTGGGGTTTAGGGTTTAGGGTTTGGGGTTTGGGGTTTAGGGTTCAGAGTTTGGGGTTTAGGGTTTAGGAGGAGGGTTGGGGCTTAGGGCTTTGGGAATTTTGGTTTCGGGCAGTTCTTCAAACTACAGTTTCGTTTGTGGGCATCGTTTAATGTTGGTTCTCTCTCCCTCCCTTTGTCTACATGCTTGCGTGTATATATATATAATGTACTGATGTATTGGTTTGCCCTCTTTGCAGACTACATAGGTCATTCTAGGTAGCACTCAAGGAAGCACATGAACCCTGCTCACCGGAGTGCTAGTTGTGACTAACCTGTCTACCATTCACGTGTCCACGCAGGTGAATTTCTTCCCGTACAAGGTCAGCCGGACGCCCCAGTGAGATAGGATCAGTCCTCTAAAACATCGTTATAGAAACTGAGCTTTATATGTCGGGCACCAGAGACGGGACCAGAATGTAGAGAGCTGTCTGCAGAATAAGCTCAGCACTTAGGCAGGATTATCCGCTTCCACTTCGGCCGGAAATACTTGCATGACGAGGTACATATCTTCGCTCCGCATTGCCCAGGAACTGTTTTGATATGCCCGTACCCCCAAACCCTGAAACCCATCCCCAAAGCCGAATTCCGCACAGTTCGGAGAGTCTATTTTCTCTCTCTCACCCTTCCTCTGTCGACGCAGCACCCTCTATCGTTTAACCCTTCTTCATGTGACCAGTTCGACGGGTCTTAAGAACCGTCCATCGCAACTTGCGTGCTTTCCTTTCCCGAGGCGGGCTCAAGAACGCAGGTTATTCGCCTCCTGAAGCTTTCCTTGCCGTAGCTTTTGCGATCATGGCCAGCTATGCCCCTGTGATCAAGGCGTGGACGACACCTTAATCCCCACTTGGAGGTTCATGGTTCATGGGTAGTTACTACCAGGGTAAAAAGCGGGATGGTTCAAGACGGGGCATCTGCTGTCTTCAAGGATGCTGGGGCGCTAGGCCCGGGCGGGGGGGGGGGGGGGGGGCCCACTAGAACTACATCCCTAAAGCCCCTTGGCCCAAACTCTAGAGTCCTCCTAAAGCCCCTAAACCCTGAGCCTTAAACCCTAAAACCCTAAACCCCAAACCCTAAACGCTTAAGCCCCAAACTGCCCATAGCCGCCAAAGCCCAGCTCCTCATTTGTTGGTCCCGGCGGTCTAGGGCTTAGGGTCTAGGGTTTAGGGTTTATAAGGCTTAGGGTCTAGGGTCTAGGGTTTGGGGTTTAGGGTTTGTTTAGGGTTTAGGGTTTAGGGTTCAGGGTTCAGGGTTCAGGGTTCAGGATTTAGGGTTTAGGGTTTAGGGTTTAGGGTTGCTTCCAGGCAGAGCAGCTCTTGGACTTGGAGTCGGTCGTGGGGCCCATGTGCCTGTGCGACTGTGGAGTTTTGGGCTTCCAAGGAATGGTTTAGGGTTTAGGCTTTAGGGTTTAGGGTTTAGGGCTTAGGGTTTAGGGTTTAGGGTTTAGGGTTTGGGGTTTGGGGTTTGGGGTTTAGGGTTTGAAGCTTGAAGGGTTTGAAGGGTTTTGGGTTTTGGTCCGCAGGGTTTCGGGTTTGGAGTTTAGGTCTTCAGGGTTTTGGTTCTTAGGAGATAAGGGGTCCTATAGGGCTGGATTCCGGGCTTCAGATTCAAGGTACACTAAACACCATGGACCTTATCTGCTCAAACAAGCCCTACACGCTCTGAGGCCTTAACCCAAGCCCCTTTGTGAGTAAGTAGCCTTTGACCTTGTTGAGGGCAGCCCATGGTCCTCAAAGAAGTTCAAGCGGTAGCCTTCACTTCTTCTGCATAGCCTATAGGGCCCTAGTGCCCTGTGAAGCCTTGAGCCCTAGAAAGCCCGGTGAACGCCGGTGCATGTGTGCCTGCCTTCCTGAACCCCTAACTCCCAAGCCCGCACCATCAAGTCGTCCACACACGCATCATCGAACCCCCTGACCCCTGAACCTCTATAGCACCCTAAGCCCAACCCTACAGCGCCAAACCCTAAACCCCAAACCCTAAACCCTAAACCCTAAACCCTAAACATCCATAAACCCTAAACCCACCCTAAACCCTAAACCTCCCCAAAAATCCCTCTACAACCCTAGACCCACCTCAATTTCCCCAAAGCCCTTTCCTTGCAGGTCCTCTGAGTCAGACAGCGACTCGGAGCCCTCCCGGTGGCCGCAGAGGCTATCTTTCTCCCAAATCCCTTGGTTTTTTAGGATTTAGGGCTTAGGGCTTAGGGCTTAGGGTTTAGGGTTGAAGGTTCAGGGTTCAGGTTTCAGGGTTTATTTAGGTTTTAGGTTTTGGTTTTAGGGTTTAGGGTTTAGGGTGTAGGGTTTAGGGTTTAGGATTTATAGGGCTTAAAGCCTTTTTAGGGTTGAAGTCTATGGTTCGGGTTCAGCGGGTTTGGGGCTTTAGGGTCTATGGGCTTCCGGAACCTGAGCACTTGAAGCCTGCCGTGAAAGCCGGAGACTATCATTCCACTACAAAACCTTAAGCCTGTTTAGGGGCTAAGGGGCCCTTTTCTTTGGGTTAACCCAGCTTGCGAGGTAAGACCCTGTCTCAAAAGCACCAATGGATCCAAGGGCCGACGCGCGGGGAGGGCATGCATGCTTAATATCGGGGTCGGAATAATTACGAATATCGTTCCCTTGTGGTCCCTTTGTATTTATACTACAATACCCCTCCCCTCAAAACCCATTCTAATAATTGAGGCCCCTATATTACTCAAGTGTACTCAGCTATTTGGCGCTGTCGCCTGCGCAATGCTGGTTACACATATGCGTATGTTTTGTTCATTAAATATTGACTGAGATGTGCATGTACATGTCTATGCATATATACATGTATATGTATATGTATATGTAGATGTATATGCATTTACACATACTTGCAAGCGTGTAATTGCATAGGTATTTGCGTATATACGTGTGTGTATATAGTCGTATAGACGTTTAGTTTACATATACATCTGTATGTCTACACATATGCATGCATGCGTGCATGCGTGCATGTATGTATGTACGTATGTATGTATGTATGCATGCATGCATCTCTGTATGTTATGCATGTTATGTATGTTTTGCATGTTATGCATGTTATGCATGTTAATAACATGAATTAACATGCATAACATGCAAAGCATACATATCTTGTGTATGTTATGTATGTATGTATGTATGTATGTATGTATGTATGTATGTATGTATGTATGTATGTATGTAGACTTGCCGATTTAATTGTAGACATGTGTATGTATTTGCAAAACATATGTGTATATGTTGGACATGTACAGCTACTAATAAGCAAATATGAAACATGTGTGTATGCACTTACGGCACTTGCACTTATGCATCTCCGTTGCCCGGTGACAGGATCCTGCGTCCTGCGCTGGCTGTTAGTGCCCTTGCTGCTTTGCTGCTCCTGGCAGGCCGGACACGTGCGCCTGTACTGGCCCAAAAACCCTAAACCTTAAATCTTAAATCCTAAATTTTAAACCCTGAGTTGTAGGGTGGGCACTTAGGATTTGGGCTTTCAGCTGTGCATTGTCAAGCCCTCCACACACATGCGGGCGCACTGATGGGCACGAATGGCGTGGCAGGCCGCGGCGTGCAATATTTGCATGGTGCCACTTGCCTTCAGTGTGTGGGCCTGTGTCATCTTCGGAGAAGGGCCAGCATGCATTTGGCTTGGCTGTGTTTGCTACTGATTTAGTGTTTAAGTGGCGGCATGTACTGCCCGCTTCCACTTATTGCCTGAGGATCTTCGGGCCATGCAGGAGAAGACTGGCATGTACAAGGACGACTGGACGGTTCCCAAGAAGGAGGACCCATTCACGGTCTTTGATCACTATCATTCCCTGTGTGTACAAATCCCATATCGCGCTCATAGTCTCTGGTGCTGTTCAATGTCTTTGTCGTCGTCGGCGCTGTCGATATTACTCCATCTGAGCTTCTGCACCTACAATGGCCAGTTACGATGATCAGCAGCTCTATTCATACAAGTCGCCCATCCTCTGATGCAAACCCTAAACCCTAATCCCTAAACCCTAAACCCTAAACCCTAAACCCTAAACCCTAAACCCTGAACCCTAAACCCTAAACCCTAAACCCTACGCCCCTGACAGCCCTCAACCTTGAAAGCGCCCTGCGAGGAATCCGAGGAATCCGAGGTCTCCGGGTTCAACCCCGGGGCGCGGCTTGATCACAAAGTGTGCGGCTTCGAGGTTTTCAGGGTCTAGGGTTTAGGGTTTAGGGTTTAGGGTTTAGGGCCCAGGGTTTTTTTTTAGTTTTTTTTAGTTTTTTTTTTTTTGTTTTTTTTTAGTTTTTTTTGTGTTTTTTTTTTTTTTTTTTTTTTTTTTTTTTTTTTTTTTTTTTTTTTTTTTTTTTTTTTTTTTTTTTTTTTTTTTTTTTTTTTTTTTTTTTTTTTTTTGAGAAAGTTTTGCGTGAGACCCGTGGGTGGACACAGGCTTCATGTCTTTAAACCTTTGAAGTAAGGGAAGCCTTACGGACCCCTAAGCCCTAACCCCCAAACCTGTAAGTTAAAGCCGGCCTCCAGCCTTCTTGGGGTAACATATTCCCCACAACCCAAAAACCTTCTTAAGTGTTAGTAAGAATCCTATAGGGGGAGAGATATCCTGCAAGAAACTAGGTTTGGGGTGCTTCAGGTGTCGATTCCCATAGGCAACTTTGAGTGGACCTGGGAAATATGTTCGCGCGCATGGTAGGACACAGTTTGACATGTCTTTCCTGCGCCGGCTAGCACTATAACGCCCTCACGGAGGATCAAGTCTGTCAACGACTTGACCGGTGGCAAGGACAGGGCACTCAGAACGTTCACGCAGGGTTGCAATGCTAACAGGAGTGCTTAGTAATGTTGCGAATTCTCGGGTGCGACGGATGTCCTGTTGCGGGAGGCAAGCACACCACAGGTCAGCCGGAACACTCAACAAGAAGCGGTGTCAGTCTTCAGCTTCTTTTCCGGGTTGGGCGATTACACCCTATAACCCCTTAACCAGGCCCTTCATAAGGTTGTTTATTGGGATGATCAAAAGGCCTAATAGCCCATCCTGGTTTCAGCATGACAACCAGCACACGTGGATTCTGCTGGTATGGCAAGGAGCAAACACCGGAGATCTCGGATCTCTCACAACTGGTTGTTGTTTCTGAGGAAGTATGTGTCAGCGTGCTTCTACTTGGTAATCCAATCCCGGGGCAGCTTGTTTCTGTTCAGACAAAAAAACCGTTCTCAGGGGAACAGTTGTGGGCCTGAACGGTCGGAGCAGATACAAGTCGCGATCACACACAACAAGACCCTCTAAAACCCAAAGCCCTCAATCCCCAACAGGTGAAGCAAACCCTAAA